TCAGCGCATCTATGATTGTTGTGCCACAAATAAGTTTACTATAACTCTGAGATTATCTGTAGCAATACGGATTGTGGTTATATAAATATAAAATACATTTTTCACAGGGATTACTTGACATTTAGTTGTAGTTTTTACTGTTTGACTCAGTAAGTATAGTAAGATAAGATTTTAAAAGGGGTAAAATCATACTTTTAGTATTACAAATCAATATCATAAAGACAGTATTTACTACTGTCTGTCCATAGGGTTTCTCAAAAATGATGATTCATCTTGACAACAACACTAGTCAAGTGGATGTGTGAAAAAAGCAAAGCAGCATCACTGTAGAGACATCAGTTTCTCAGGGAGGTGCACAAACTACATTTGAACTCACTTCTCCTCCTGTTTTTCAGAGTGGCATCATATAAAATCCTCTCACAGACTCCATTGGCCCAGAGGAGGAAGAAAGACACAGAAGAACAAGAGCCAGAGCCTGCAGCAGCTGATAGTCTATTGATAATGAAGTTGTCAAGGTGAAAACAAAGTATATCTGTGCTTCTTTGGGAATCAAATATTTATTATATGTCAAATATAAAAAACTTCAGCTTGCAGTTTGTTGAATTGTTTTGTACAACACACGTGTGTAATGCATTTTCTAGTGCTGTCAAATAATTACAATATTTAATATATGTTAATATCATATTTATCTCATAGTTTATAAAGATTCATCTTGTCTTCTTAAAACCATTTGGTTCTTCTATACCAGACAATCTAAGGTTAGCAATGTTATTACCTTGACATTTTTTGACGGAGGAAGACGGAAGTATCCGTTGAAACATGTCAAGGTAAAAACATTGCTAACCTTATATTGTCTGGTATACAAAAGCCCAATTTTATATTTAACTCATGATTAATTGCAATTAGGTATGAAAAGGGACGAATAAAAATCTCATTAATCCAATTCCCTCTAACAGAAAGTATTTGGATTGTCGAACATAGGTTACTCAATCTCTGCCCCGTTTAACATAGAACTTACTTGAATTGTCGAATAAAGGCTACTCTTTTGCGTATGTTTCATTCATGTCAGTAAGATTTTTACAGTGTATTTCATGCGGAGTGGAAATAACTCTAGCTTCAATGTTTGGGCTGTGGAGGACTCGAGATAATTGTGATCCCTGATGGACGTCCAGAAATCACCAGTGAGCGCGACTGCTTTTCCCCAACATCCCTGCAATGTATTATACTGCGACTCTGAGATAGTATCATTAAGGCAGACTTCAGCACGGCCATCTTTTACCTCCACAACAGCTTAGTATTAAACAAGCGCACTGGACAAGGTAAGAGTATGACAGGTCCAGGGGGGTGTTTACACCACAATCCCTGACAAAGCATGTGTCTTTTGAAATGGACAGCCCCACGTTGTGGCGTGCATGGGGTGCGGGGCGGATTTCAGATACGTGCTCGTAGTAGAAGCCTGGAGCATTCCGCACACTGATGGGCGGCCTGGCAGTCATCAGTGACGCGTCTTTCAGTCATAATCCATACATTTGTTTATTAATTCAGCATCCTGATACAACAACAAAAAAACCTTTTTACAGTCTGCTCACTGATCCTGATGCATTTGCCTGAATTAATTGCATTAAGTATCGCTATATCTTTATTATGAAAACTGCTTGAACAGCTAACGCTTCTCCTTTTGTAAAGAGCTTCTGGACATAAGCCCCACGTCACACTCAATACGATCACACCTCAGGTGGTCCCGACACCTGGCCCTGCTTCAACTCATAATAGAGATCTGTGGAGCGGAGCGAATACCAAAAAGAGACGGAGCCACATGGCCTTCTGAAAAACTAGGTGCAGGAGGGTCAATACGGAGAGTTATAGGCATATAGTATGCTGTCAGCAAATGTGACATTGCTAAGTCAATGCCTAAACAAACAGTTACCACCTGAAGTTTGTTAACTGTGACCACCATTGTGCAATGAGACCACTTTCACTAAAGGAAGGAGCAGAACATCATGATTCTTGTTTTTATCAGTTTTGTTTATTCCTAGTAATAAGTATGGTTTAGTCTTGATATACTTGTAAATCTTGAGAAAGCAGTGTTCTGAAATCTAGTTTAGCCATACCCTTTTCAACAAGCTGAATTATAGTCTGTGACTTCACACTAGGGATATACCGATCCGATATTCAGTATCGGTATCGGGGGCCGATATTTTGTAAGGATCGGATAATATCGGATTTGGAAAATATGAAGCCAAATTACGTCACTTTTCAGCATGCTCACGATTTAAGGCTTCCGTAAACTAAATCCAACGTAAAACTAGGGCTGGGCGATAAAACGACAACGAGATATATTGCGATAGACACGTGTTCGATATCAATAGAAAACTGGGTCGATAGAATGTTAGTTTAACATCAATCCGTTAGAAAAAACAGGATGAAAACACAGGAAGTAAAGCCGAGTCAGAGGCGCACGGCATTCTGGGGGATGTAGGCAAAGGCATGCGACGAAAGCAAGTGATGAACTTTTTCCTCCGTGCGGCTATCAGAGAGTGGCCCCACAGAGCCGTCATGGGGACACAAAACAGGAGATAAACCAGGACTGAACCAGGATTTCACCAGGACTAACTATGGGGGAGACTGCTTGTGAACATATTCCTCGAGCCTCATTCCCCGTGACTGTAAACAAGGCTGCTAACGTGTGTTAGCCGACACGACAAACTTATTTATTCAGGTAAAAATGTAAAATCTTTAATGCTTTGAAAATATTAGAAAAAATTGTATCGGATCAGTATCGGCAAAACAATATTTAAGAATATCGGAATCGGATCGGATTACAAAAAATCTGGATCGGTACATCCCTACTTCACACACATTCAAAGTTAGTTCCAGGAAGGTTTAAGGTCATGAGTTTTAGGTGCATCACATATCAGTGTTACATAATTATCGCTCATCATCTCTCGCTTTATGATGCAGCTCTAATTGAAAGAGAAGTCTCAGCGTGTGTTTTCTGGAGCCAGCTGTGAACACAGCTTCATATTCTCACATTTACAGATTGAAGGGAATGATACAGCTGATGGACAGAACGCAATAAGTGACGTCAAGACGACCACACGCAGGGAGGAATCTATGCCTCATATTGGCAGCAGAAGAATGTATTTTTATTGATAGTATAAATAGTGGTATTGTATAAAATCCATTTCAAAAAGTATGGAAACCATTAAGTTTAAATGTATTGCTGCAAGAGATGTACTGAGCTCCTCCAAGAATTTTGACTAAAAATGGAAATAAAATGTATTTTAACCAGTCAAGATCCAAACGAAAGCCAACATTTATAAACCTTATGTGTTGTGGCAAGCCAGGATTCTCCAATAGGACTTTTAACGGCTTCTCTTATTGGTTTCTTCCTTTAAGTGCTCACTGCAGAGCCTAATAGAGCTGGCCTGCACAGATGATAAGCTATAATTGAAACGTGCCAGCTCTCCTCTGCAATTTCTAGAAGCAACTTTGCCCAAAGCTATGATGATTTTTCAAGATGGCAGCGAAGGGCTGAAGTCAAAACTGTAATACCACATCTAGTCCTGTTCAGTAAAGAATCTTGTCTCTTTGACGCTTCGTGTTTTTTCCATGGTGGTGGTAAACAGGCACGCACTTGTGAAATTACCTCTGGTGCACTTGAAACGCGCCAGGATGCAGCAAGGCACAACATAAAATATCAAAGAATCAGCAGTAAACACTATCCCTGTTACTGCTGTTACAAAACTAAAATTGCGATCTCAATTTTGATACTGATACCGCAGTGATAATGTTGACCTGCATTTTTTTGACATGAATAATCAAATCGCATTGTCATACATTTCATGGTACCCGCAGTTTTAATGAGTAGCTCAGAAATGTACAAAAACTGCTCAGATATTTTTACATTATTTACGATTTATTTCGTTTTTTATACTTACTCAAATGAAAATCTAGTTTTAATACAGGTTTTGGAATCAATTGTTATCCAATTCTTGATACTTTTGACGATTCTACACACATTATGAGATAACACAAATCATTTTTTATCATGAGTGAAAAAACATTGCAAACAATCCCTTAGATGTTTTGGATGCTTTAAGCAAAACAAACCACCGACAAACTGGTGCACGCCCGAGTAGTCTTGCACAGTTTTACCAATGTGGTTTTACTGCAAATGGCAAATAAATTCTTGAATCTTGAACTCTTGAAAACTAATTTGTCATTATTTTTGAGAGAGAGGAGAGATCCACAAACACACACATGCTAAACCCACAGATAACATGACAGGTTGTAGTGACAGCTGATTGTGGCAAGTGTGGCTCTAGCAAAAACAACCGCTAAAAGGTATCTGATTAAAAATGAACATAATGATATAAAAAGATGCAAGCAAGTAAGAATAGACATAAAAAGGTAGGGCAATTCATCCTCTGCATTCAACCACCCGGGGACCCATCTCCAGTTGTTGATGTTTGGCTTGGTCAGGACTACAGCAGCTAAAGTACTTTACCTATTGTACATGTTACTAATGAGAGGGGTAACCGGAGCACCCGGAGAACATGCAAACTCCCGTCAGCTCTGACCGGGATTCGAACCCAGAACCTTCTCGCTGGGAAGGGAGAATGCAATCCACTCAGCCACCGTGCAGAGTTTACATTAGTGATAACATTTAGTATTAAGGTGACCCCTAACATCAGTCCAGGTGACCCTAAATTCTCCGGACTCCTCTTTTGCAGCAGCCTATGATTAACTTCAGTGAACTTGATCCAGACTACATCATCACACGGACTGTATACATATGCCATCTTACACGCACGGTTAATAATGCACGTATTCTGTCCGCAGTGTTAAGTTCACCTGCTCCTCATCAGACAGGGTTAGCAGGAGCTAGCTTACAGCAGAGATGAGTCGGGACTTTCTGCTCACTACATCAAGTGCAGTGGATTAAACATAGCATGTGTCACGCACGAAGCGAATACATCGGAGGAAAAAAACAATACCCGTGTCTGCAGGGTCTGTGCCATAGCCGAGCCCCAGCACCGAGTCCCCGTCTTCGGATGCTGCGGCCCCTGACATAGGACTCTCTTCCCCGGCCTCCAGACAGACCGCTCCCTCCGCTGCTACCTCCATCAGGCTCCCGCAGGAAAACAGCCAAGCGAAGGAACGACACAGCGGCGATGCTCAGAGAGAGTGTCCTCAGTCCTCGCAGCGGTCACACGGATAAACACGGCCGGGTTATCCGAGAGAGTCCCTTCATGTGTGCGGTGTGAGCAGTAGTCCCGATGCTCTGAGCTCCACTGCGCTGCTGCTACTGTACTACAGGGATACACCGCTACAAGCCCGATACTACTGCTGCTGCTGCTACTACTGCTGCTACTACTGCTGCTGCTGCTGCTGCTGCTGCTGCTGCGCTCAAGGCTGCCCCCTGCCAGACACAAGTGGGTACTGCAGCAGACACATCCACAGAGAAGATGTTCACAGTCTCCACAGACACAGTCTTTGTAGCCATTGTCAGAGGAACAGGGAAATCAATAATTGCATAACAAAACTATAGTTATTATAATGCTCACACAGACATCTTAATACCATTCTAAAACATATAGATAAGAGATCCTTTATTCGTCCCAAGTGGGGGAATTTCAGTGTTGCAGCGCAGATACAGGGCAGTAGTAAGAGCCCATAGGAAGCATAAAAAATATACAAAATAAGTATCTGCTTTGTTTCTTAGCTGGCTGTCAACATTTCAATATTAATCTTTCAAAAAATATCTATATTGTGCAAAGTATATACATAGGGCAGGGTAATAATTAGATACAGTGATGTTCAGTGGACATTCTGAAGTTTCAATACTACTTATGGAATCAATTGATATCTGATTCTTGACAAGTCTACACACATCACAAGATCAATCAGCCCTATGGCAAGTGCAATGCTGAAGTCGCTATTCATTCACTTTGTGTACAGGGGTAGTAACTACCCTGGGCCAGATAGGCAAAAGCAAGGCAGTCTGGGCTATCGGGCTGTAAGTTTATCCTACAGTTAAGAAATATAGAATACAACCTACTAAAGAGATTTAAGAAAATAACACACAGTTAACTTACTTTTAAAGTTATTTTTTATTTGGAATACTTTGTATTTCTTTGTCTGACTGAGACCCAGAGTCACAGCACTATGCTCTTCCCAGTAGTTTTGTACGCAGTTTCATCAGGGCTGTTCCGTCCAGAATATGGATTTTTGAACATTCCTTCATTAATCTGAGCTGGGCACAGTTTTTATTGACTGGTTCTCAGAGACACAGAAATACAGAATACAAGAAACGTCATGAAAGGAGAAACAAAGAGTGAGTCAATGTGTCATCGACTGAACATCCATAACAGGGATATTATAGGTACAGCGGGAGATCCGCTTCCACCTTCTGAAAATGAAAAAAAAAAAAAGAGTAAATTATTATTATTAGTATCACATAATACTGAATAGCAATGTTTAAAATATAGGTTTCAAATTACAAATGAGCATAATACATACACTTGGATCATCCAGGGGTCCATATCTCTTCACCACCTGGCCCTCTCTGTTGATCAAGAACTGGGGAAGGAAAAGTCATGTTATAGACACTTCACGACACTTTTTTGTGGTTCATGTACTGTACAAAGTTCTAGACAAACGTGTACATAATCTACTCATTATTCATGTGATTAAACTCTCGTAGACACTACATTTTTAGTCAGCTTCGACTGCTGCCTTGACTGTTTTTATGCATCAACACTCATCAAAACTTTTCATAATTGTATTATATAACAATAACAAAATAAAATCCCAAATACCTTTGTGAAGTTCCACTTGATGCTACTGTAAAAGATAAAACAAAAATGATTTTCAGCATCCTCTCCATGAATATTATCTATACAAGTGATTAATGGCCGCAGAACACGAGATAATAAAAGACTTGTTTGCAGTCAACTTACTTTGACATGAACCCTCTTCCCATGGGTTGCTCCTTCAGCCACTTCCACAAAGGGTGAGCGTTGTCTCCATTCACATCAATTTTACTGAACATATCGAACTGAGCGTTGTATGACTGAGCAAACTGCTTGATCTGTGCTTCAGTCCCAGGCTCCTACGGGAATCAGGGGGAAAACAAAACAATCACTGAATTAAACACATTTTGTTGTCAGTTTTACACTCCACAATCTTTAAAGAAAATCACCATACAACTATCTGATGGTAGCCTGGTTGTACCACACCATCGTACACGTTTCATTTCATTTCCATTTCAGGGAAATAATAATTGACCGGAGTTTACGGATGGCTAAGGCCAGGCTAATCTGGTGGTATTCCAGTACAAAACAGGATGTAAAGTCAACATTTTAAACTACAACAATTCCACAGACGGGTAAATCCACAAAATGTCACATAATTGTTTATTTTAAAAAATTACACTTACCAAAATGTGATAATATTTAAGATGTCAAACGTGTATTATGTGTATGTGTATTATCTATTTAGGCAAGATGGTGTACCTGGTTCCCAAACTGGTTGGAAGGGAAGCCGAGGATGCGCAAACCTCTCTCAGCGTAGCGGGCGTACATATCCGCAAACTGAGAGTAGTTCACAGGGGTTTTTCCTCATTTAGAGGCAACATTAGTGATGATGACAACATAACCCCTGACAAGAACACAAACACATCTGATAAGAAGACCAGTGGACATGAGTATTTGATTAGTGAGGTCAAAGTTTACCTATATTTTTCCAGAGACACCAAGTTGCCATCAATATCTGTGGCTGTGAAGTTGTAAATTGATGTGGCCGTCTGTCCATCCTCTATTGGTGCAGACTATAAAAACACAAGTAGACCCCACACAAAAGATGAATATACAACAAAAATATATTTAAATATCGATTAATTCAAACATGCATTTCACCCATATTCAACAACCTGAAAATGCAGCTCCTATAATAATCTCTTACCAATGTCTGCAGCAAAACAGAGAAAAGGACAGCGGACCCTAAGAGACGCATTATGGCCTTCAGTGAGGACCTCTGAAGGCACCAAGCAGCCAAGCAGTGTCAGTCCCCTGGTATCGGACTGACACAGTCCAGCACTAGACTGGGGTTTTTATTGAATTGTTTTAGCCGATAATGCAGAGGGGCGGTCCCACACGCTCTTAGTCCACAGTCCACCACAACACCACATGCTGTTGAGTCATTACAAACGAATAGGATCAGAGTAAACGTCTGTGTCCAGGGCAAAGGACAAGTTTTAAGAAGTACATAATCCCTTATATAAAGAGATTACAACAAACACAATACGTAATGTGTATTTGATTTATTTCAATAATTAAAAGATAAATTAAGATAAGATACATTTTTTTGATCTAGAGAGAACATGTATGAACATTAATTTTATCTTATGTTACTGTTTTCTTGAGCTGCTAATCCATTATTTACAAGTTTTAAAGAATAATTAATAACTATTTTTTCTTTTTTTTGGTAATATAATCCTATAAGTAAGTTTATTTAGATAGCGCCTTTCACAGACCTGTGTTGTGTTCATATGTTTGTAAGGGCTCCACTTCATCTCATACGATATCGATTATGTTACTGTTTGACATTTGTTGTGTTTTATGTGGGTGGGATAAATAAAGTAGTCTGAGTCTGCAGAAGTGTTTGAAACTTAGACCAAGGTCATTTGAATACAATCATTGTGATATAATTAGTGTAGTGTACCAAAAGTGATTAAAAGTACCCAAAACTGCAGAATAATCTTGTAGTTTTGTGAAATGTGATTTGAGACTCAAACATTGTTGGAATATTGTCAAAAATTCAGTAAACTGACAAAAAGTCTTGCTTATTATTAATAGAAGATGAAAAACATTATGTTAATATCAACTTAATGGCTTCACTCCTGCTGTTATTCATCGTAATCAAATTCATATCAAATATCTTATGGGCGTTCTAAACAACTAATTGATTAATTCAAAGAATAATCACTGTAATTCAAAATCAAAATAATTGCTAGGTACAGCCCTAATATCTAATATTTACATAACAGAGACAGTATATAAAATGTGACTCAGCATAATTTAGATTTTTTTGTCTACTAAAAATCAAAACTACGCAGCAATGAATGAGCCAATTAGTACAAAATACAAGTTCATCATATGCTTTCGGATACAGTTTTTAGCCACTGCTTTCAGATACACAGATGCCTTCATATGGTCAGACCAAAGCACATTTGGATACAGCCAAATGAGGGAATCGGCTTTTTCAAACCATTGTCAAGCACTGAAACATAATGCACACATGCAAATTCATTTTCTTGTGTAAGAAGGTCATGCGTGTTAACCTTTACCTCAAAATAAAACAAAAGCAATCGAATCAAGTTGCACAAAACACATCTTATCGATACAAATTGTACATTACCGTCATTGATAATACAAAGTACAGTACCATGGCCAGCAGCGCCCCACACGCTGTCACCGCCCCAAATGTCAAAATGACAAATAAAGGCCTCATTTTAAAAACTGAGAGGGGAACTTGAATCAAAGGACGGCATTGTCCGCAGACCTACGCCTCGCAGTTTGTTGTGAAACGCGAAACCCGCCCATAAATCCATGACGCCGCCCATGCCCCGGATCTCAAAGATGTCTGCCCATTCAAATCACGGCTCCTTCTTCTTCTGCTTCTTCTGTGTTTTCAGGCAGACTGTCGGCTCATTGCTGCTTTTCACTGGTGATACTGACTATTGCACTTTTAAATGGAGTCTGGTGTCTGGTTGATGCTTGAAGGGGCCATGCAATGTTTTCTTTTCATAACCACAGGTTCTATTCCCAACTCAAAAACTACAAACAAATCTTCCATACTCGATCTTCTAGTCTGCATACGTGTTACATTGTATAAGTATATGTTTCACTGTCTATTTCTTGGCACAATCTTCACAAAAGCCATCCATATGCTTCCTGATCTAACGAAGGCAATGTGCAAGCCCACAGTTGCCCAGTCTCCTTAGTATACAATTACAATACAATACAATTTATTCTTGTATAAATCACAACAGAAGTCATCTCAGAGGACTTAACAAAACCATTGAAATCACCAACACAGATCAGATAATCAACAGTTAAGACACATAAAGAATATAGAACACATGTTGATAAATGTCCATACATGTTGTAGAATGTTAAAGTGTCCTGGATCATCACCACATCCTTCTAGTTGGACACTAACTGCCCAACAGACCCTCCTGCATCGGCAAGGAAGAACTCATAAAAAAACCCAGTGGGAAACCTCGGGGAATCCCTTTTTTACAGTTTGAGAATGGAATCCGCTCCCACGGACGGACGAGCTATAGATTCAGGACCTAAGCTACAGAACGTGGACCAGCGGCCGCTTAACGTGGACAGGTCCAATACAGAACTGAAGAACTCCCAGGCAGGTCGGGCAGGGCAGTCCGCAGGTGTAGATGGAGGAGGCCAGGTCCAGAGGTCCAGTCATTGTACCATGGAACAGACAATGGGACACTTCCTCCAGCTCATCTGGAGGAATCTAGAGGTGTTCCAAGACCAGCTGAGAGACACGTTGTCCCTCCGAAGTGTTCTGGGTCTTCCCCAGGGTTTCTTCCCTGTGGGACATGACCAGAACACCTCCCCAGGGAGGTCTCCAAAACAGATGCCCGAGCCCCCTCAACTGGCTCCTTTTCGATGTGGAGAAGCAGCGGCTCTACTCTGAGCTCCTCATAGCTCCTAATAGACTGAAGTCTATAAGTAGTGCCCAGCCACTCTCGTTCTTTGGGTCATTACCCAAAGCTCATGACTATAGATAGATACAGTGCCTTGCGAAAGTATTCGCCCCCCTTGAACCTTTCAACATTTCGCCACATTTCAGGCTTCAAACAAAGATATAACAATTTAATTTTTTGTCAAGAATCAACAACAAGTGGGACACAATCGTGAAGTGGAACAAAATTTATTGGATGATTGAAACTTTTTTTACAAATAAAAAACTGAAAAGTTGGGCATGCAATATTATTCGGCCCCCTTGCGCTTATACTTTGAAGCGCCACCTTTTGCTGCAATTACAGCTGCAAGTCGCGTGGGGTATGTCTCTATCAGTTTTGCACATCGAGAGACTGGAATTCTTTCCCATTCTTCCTTGCAAAACAGCTCGAGCTCAGTGAGGTTGGATGGAGAGCGTTTGTGAACAGCAGTCTTCAGCTCTTTCCACAGATTCTCGATTGGATTCAGGTCTGGACTTTGACTTGGCCATTCTAACACCTGGATACGTCTATTTGTGAACCATTCCATTGTAGATTTGGCTTTATGTTTTGGATCATTGTCCTGTTGGAAGATAAATCTCCGTCCCAGTCTCAGGTCTTTTGCAGACTGCAGCAGGTTTTCTTCCAGAATGGTCCTGTATTTGGCTCCATCCATCTTCCCATCAGTTTTAGCCATCTTCCCTGTCCCTGCTGAAGAAAAGCAGGCCCAAACCATGATGCTGCCATCACCATGTTTGACAGTGGTGATGGTGTGTTCCACTTACGGAACATCGCTAAAATTAGGAATTTCCTTCCTAAAAGTGACGCGGAAAAACGTATTCACGCGTTTGTCACCTCAAGGCTCGACTACTGTAACGCTTTACTGGCAGCGTGCCCTAAAGCCTCTTTGAAGAGCTTCCAGCTCGTTCAGAATACAGCAGCTAGGATCTTAACAGGTACCAAAAGGAGGGAGCACATAACTCCGGTGTTAAAATCACTCCACTGGCTCCCTGTGGAGTACAGAATAAAGTTTAAAATCCTTCTCTTAACACATAAAGCCATAAATGGCTTGGCTCCCTCTTATCTCCAAGACACGTTAGTGTCGTATCAACCAAGTCGAACGTTGCGCTCACAAAACGCCAGACGTCTGGTGGTTCCTAAGGTCTCAAAAATCACTGTTGGCGGCAGAGCATTTAGCTACCAAGCTCCTTTACTGTGGAATCAGCTTCCCATTTATGTTAAGGAAGCAGATACGGTCTCCACATTCAAGGCCAGGCTTAAAACACTTTACTTTAATTTAGCATATAATTAGGTAATATATAATATATGGTGTATATATTATATATATATATGCTGTATTATGTTATATATTATGTTATATATTATACAATAATGTATTGTGTTATGTTGTATATTATGTTATATATTATGCTGTATGTTATGTTGTGTATTATATATGATATATACGGTATGTATGGTATATATGATGTATATGATATATAATATATAATTAGGTTTGCTTGGATCGGTTTGCACACCTGGTGTGCAATCCATGAATCTTGGTGCTGTAGCCTAGGCTAGCCTAGCCGTGGCTGCTGCTGCTGTCTCACCTCCTTTCAGATACGCTCTCTTTATTCAAGGCTAGGTTTAAAACAGTCCTCTTTAGTTTAGCATATGGTTAGGAAGGTAAGACTCAGGGAAGGCTAAACTCTTCAGACTGTCAGTCAAGCTGCATAGGGAGTCAGTTTGCTGGGAGAAGTATGGTAACTTGAGCACTATCCTCTCCTCCTTCCTACTTTATCTGTTTAGCACTTTTAGGATTCTGACTGTAGTTTGTTCATTGCTATTCACCCGTTGTCCCATTGTCTGTTTCATGGTACGATGACGGGATCTCTGAGCCTGGCCTCCTCCATCTACACCTGCGGACTGCCCCGCCCGACCCGCCTGGGAGTGCTTCGGTCCTGCACCGGACCTGTCCACGTTCAGCGGCCACTGGTCCACGTTCTGTAGCTAGCTTAGGTCCTAGATCATTAGCCTGTCCGTCCGGAGGAGCGGATCCCTTTCTCAAATGGGTCTCCCTCCCTGTGGGTTTCCCTAGTGCTCCCCAAGGTTTCTCACGTTTTCCCACTGGGTTTTTTAAGAGTTTTTCCTTGCCGATTCAGGAGGGTCTTGTTGGACAGTTAGTGTCCAACAGAAAGGATTGGTGATGATCAGGACACTTTAGCATTCTACAACATGTATGGACATTTTCTTCTGTGTGTGCTTTATATTCTTCATGTGTTTTAACTGTTGATTCTCTGACCTGTGTTGGTGATTTCAATGGTTTTGTTAAGTCCTCTGAGATGACTTCTGTTGTGACCTAGGGCTATACAAGAATAAATTGTATTGTAAAATTGTATTGTGTTCAGGGTGGTGAGCTGTGTTGCTTTTACGCCAAACATATCGTTTTGCATTGTGGCCAAAAAGTTCGATTTTGGTTTCATCTGACCAGAGCACCTTCTTCCACATGTTTGGTGTGTCTCCCAGGTGGCTTGTGGCAAACTTTAAACGAGACTTTTTATGGATATCTTTGAGAAATGGCTTTCTTCTTGCCACTCTTCCATAAAGGCCAGATTTGTGCAGTGCATGACTGATTGTTGTCCTATGGACAGACTCTCCCACCTCAGCTGTAGTTATCTGCAGTTCATCCAGAGTGATCATGGGCCTCTTGGCGGCATCTCTGATCAGTCTTCTCCTTGTTTGAGATGAAAGTTTGGAGGGACGGCCGGGTCTTGGTAGATTTGCAGTGGTCTGATACTCCTTCTATTTCAATATAATTGCTTGCACAGTGCTCCTTGAGATGTTTAAAGCTTGGGAAATCTTTTTGTATCCAAATCCGGCTTTAAACTTCTCCACAACAGTATCTCGGACCTGCCTGGTGTGTTCCTTTGTCTTCATGGTTCTCTCTGCGCTTTAAACAGAACCCTGAGACTATCAAAGAGCAGGTGCATTTATACGGAGACTTGATTACACACAAGTGCATTCTATTTATCATCATCAGTCATTTAGGACAACATTGGATCATTCAAAGATCCTCACTGAACTTCTGGACTGAGTTTGCTGCACTGAAAGTAAAGGGGCCGAATAATATTGCACGCCCCACTTTTCAGTTTTTTATTTGTTAAAAAAGTTTAAATTATCCAATAAATTTCGTTCCACTTCACGATTGTGTCCCACTTGTTGTTGATTCATGACAAAAAAAATAAATGTTATATCTTTATGTTTGAAGCCTGAAATGTGGCGAAATGTTGACAGCTTCAAGGGGGCCGAATACTTTCGCAAGGCACTGTAGATAGATAGATAGATACTTTATTGATCCCGTAGGAGAAATTAAGGTGTCAAGTAGCAGCAAAAATAAAAAATTAAATTGATCATTCTAAAAAGCCAGCAATAGTAATAATTAGCAACAGCCCTTCAGGTCACAGTAGCAGAGATGGAATAGCCTCTGCTGGAGCAGGACAGGTCTGCATACAAGGACTGGACGGCCCTCAGCAGAGGACCCTGTACCCGGTACTCCTGGAGAACCCCCCAAAGGACCCTCGGGAAATACGGCGAACACCTTCCCCAGATCCACAAAGCACATGTGGACAGGTTGGCCAACCTCCATGATCCCTCAAGTATTCGATAAAGAATTTAGAGCACACCCTGCGTTCCCCCCTCTTGAAGAGAGGGACCACTACTCCAGTCTGCCACTCCATTTGGATGTCCCTGATTGCCTTGCGATGTTGCAGAGACGTGTCAGCCAAGACAGTTCTATAACATTCATAAATTTAAGATAGTCTGGATGGCTGTAATCCACACTTGGGGCCTTGCCACCAAGGAGGCTGCCATACCCTTGGTGACTTCAGTATGGTGGGCCGTATATAGCACTCTCCCTTCTCAGCAAGAAGGTCCTGGGTTCAAATCCCGGTTGGAACAGGGTCTTTCTTAGTGGAGTTTACATGTTCTCCCCGTGCCTGCACATGTATATATTCTGAATGTACAGTAATGATTGAATGGATGGTGTTGAATGGGGGCTTTGATGTGCCAGTGTGTTCAGCGTCTCACTTACGTCATCATCGTGTGTGAATGGAAAAATATGTGGTTTCTGAACATTGTAAAGTGCTTTGGGTGACCTTGGTCTGTAAAAAATGCGCTATATAAATAAACATTACTTACTTTCTTACTTCAGCAAGGTAGATGGGATGGGACTATCCATCCCAATTGGGAAGGTACTACAAAAAAAGTTTCTAATATTTTGACACTTTTTTTTCTACATTATTCTGAGGTGATATTGGAAAATTTCAACAGGCACACGCAGCAACATCTCAAGGCACACTAACGTGCAACAGCCATGGATGTACGGTCACAACTATAGACTGTAAGCTATAACCATAGGCTACAACCATACACTATATGAACTTAAGATCTATAGGAGGATTTTCTACTACCCGTTGGATCATCAAGACTATTGGTCCTCCCAATTGTCAATACATGCTTGCCAAATAAGATCAGATAGTTTTCTTGAAAATGTGGAGAGGGAAGTACTTTCCTAAAATTTGAGAAAATTCTCCAATATACCTTTAACACATTGGTTGAAAAACACTGCCCCTTGCAAATAATATATCTATGAGCCCGCCCTAAACGTGACGCCATCACGACGCGACTTCTAGATCCATGAGCGTGCGTCGCTTTTGAGGCTTACAAATATATAACATTACTGAAATAATACAGTAGTAGAAAAATGGATGATGAAGAAGAAACCTACAGATTGTGGAAGATTCGCAAAACTATCATGCAGGTGAAATATATAATATATATGTATAAATATTGTGATCTGTTAGGATTGATTTAACGTTAGCTTAGTTAGCTTAGTGTTTATTAATTGAGAATGAGGCCATTATTAATTTAACTAAGTTAGAAAGCTTTACTTCTCCCTTGTCTGTGTGCAGCTCTGTCACGACAGGGGGTACCTGGTAACACAAGACGAATTGGACCAAACCTTGGATGAATTCAAGAGTCAGTTTGGGGACAAGCCGAGCGAGGGACGGCCCAGGCGGACAGACCTCACTGTGCTCGTAGCGCACAATGACGACCCCACTGACCAAATGTTTGTTTTCTTTCCTGGTAGGTCAAAACTGTTAACATTACCCATCATTTTCTTTCTTTATTGCTTTACTGAAATGAAGAACAACAAGCATTCAATTAGATTAAATCGTGTTTTATGTTCTCATTACCCCATCAGCTCCAGTGCAAAAAACCGCTGTTTTAATGTATGCTTATGTGTTCCGAATGATCTTTATCCAAACTGTACTGTGTGTCACTTGCACTCTACGAGTAACTTGCTCGACTACGAGCATTGGTTAGTGAGGATTATTGTTTTTATATATCCCTTTATGGCTACATAATATACTTATCATTTTCATTCTATAAGATTTGGAGATGTGAGTTAGTATATATTTATAATATATCTCATGTTGCTTTCCTTTTCAGAGGAGCCTAAAGTTGGAATTAAAACTATAAAGATGTACTGCCAAAGGATGCAGGAAGAAAACATTACACGGGCCATTATAGTTGTACAGATGGGTATGACACCATCTGCGAAACAGGTATGAAAGAAGACAATATCTTCAGATTATAGTATTTGTTAAATGATTATGTAATTCTTTTTTCAGTCTTTGGTGGATATGGCTCCCAAATATATTCTTGAGCAGTTTTTACAACAAGAGCTGCTTATTAACATAACGGAGCATGAGGTGAGCATACACCAAATGTGAAAAGTTCATTATATCTTTAATGCTTATAAGGTTCTTTTCAATAAGGTTGAGTAAGGAAGCTCGTAGAGCTTAATTACCTGACATGTTTTGGTAGAAGACTTCTGCCTTCATCATAGGTGACACGAGATAGTGTCATTTGTCTCTTATTAAACTAAGGCATGTAAAATTCCAGAAGCTCTGGTGCGCCACGATCCTGTCTTTGTGGTTCATTTTCCACACACGTGGCTGAGTGGATAGCAGTCTTGCTGGTCCTGGGTTCAAATCCCGTTCGGAAAAGGGCCTTTCTAAGTGGAGTTTGCATGTTCTCCCCGTGTCTGTGCAAGTTTCCTTTGGGTGCTCCTGTACTGGTGACCACACTCCCATCTCTGTGTGGAGTGAAAGACAAATGACCTCAACAATTGTAAAGCGCTTTGTGACTCTGGTCTGTGAGGCACTATATAAAGATGACTTACTTAAAACCATCAACATGTCAGGTAATTAAGGCAGTATGAGCATTACTCTTTTGTCTGACCCTATAAGCATTAAGCATACACCAGTTTGCATGTAATCAAATGCATACAGTACTAATATGAAATTTGCATCTATTTCAGCTTGTCCCAGAACATATTGTAATGACAAAAGAGGAAGTGACTGAACTCCTGGCACGATAGTATCCTTTGAATTAAGACATTCTTTTACTTAAGTCACAATTGTGCTACATTTTTCCTTAATACACATTTCTTTAGTAAATTGAAGGAAAGTCAGTTACCCAGAATTCAGGCTGGAGACCCTGTTGCGCGCTACTTTGGTCTAAAAAGAGGACAGGCAAGTTATGATAGTGTTACTTTTGAAGATTTTGTCTCTTCCCAAAGTCTTAACCTCATGCCCTTTTCAATTTAGGTAGTAAAAATTATTAGACCGAGTGAAACTGCTGGACGGTACATCACATACAGACTGGTTCAATGAAAGAGGTATGTCACAAATGGAACATAAATTGTGTTTGTTTCTAACTACTTTTTCTTTCAGGAGCAGAGGTCAAATTGAAGCATCTGGAGCAGTTGTTTTTTTTTTTAAATAACATTTTATACATACAAGAAACCCCTTTGTTGTCAATAAATTACTGTATAAATTTGAACTCACCTTTTTCCTTCTCGGAGCCATGACTGACACATGTATGCAGAATGTTCTTTGAGGTGGAACTGCTTTGTTTTTGCTTATCTGATGGCCACACTTATCTGGTAATGAAATGGAAAATAACCCTTTCTGTGCGGTCATTTCTCTTGTTCATTCCATTGTTTGGGTAAGTTTCCTACTGACTGGTTTTGACAACACTGAACATTTTTACAACTATCGACCAAAATGTGTTCCTAGATTTGCAAATGGATCTCAAACGATGTAACTGCAGCAGCTCACAAGTTTAGTAAAACTCATTGAATTCATCAGGAGAGATGAACAAAACAGTTAAGATAGGGTTTTATTAAAATTGATCCACAAGAACAAGTTATATGGGATAACAATAAGTGCAGAGCAAAACCAGGTGCAATTTCTCAAACAACCTTAACCCCAGGCCTTAAGCATTCAAAACATTACATTTGGATTAAAGCCTTTCTCAATCATTCAAATGTGAAAACAGCATGGATGCATAGGTGCTCTACTTACAATAGAACCGCACATATAAAATAGAAAAAAAGAATCTTTCAAGAATGTTTTAGCTCATTCACACAATAACTTCAGACATACTCAGGTTCGCTGTCCCTGTTCCTTGTAAGTGGTAACTTCTTGGGAGCACGGGACAGAGGAAAGCCTGACAGGGTTTTAACAGGAGAGAAGGGGTAGTTGTTATTTTGATTCAGGTTGAGATTGCCCAAAGAAGTTACGACTCCCTCATCTGGGGCATCTTCTGGGGGGGAACAGTTGGGTGGAGTAGGTGCCTCTTCACATATGGGTTCGTCTTTTTCTGATTCAGCATCGGTGTGAGAAGCAGAGACACTGGAAATATCTAAACTGTTCCGAAGGCTGAGCTGGTCCTCGTCTAGACTGGCCTCGCTCTCCTGTTTGACCAGAGTCCGACTCAGTGTCACCTGGGCCTCCTCCTCAGAGTCTGAGAGCTGCTCATTAGAGCCCAGGGATCCTAAAGAGCTACCTTTGAAATCAGACGAGAACAGTGTCAAATGAAAAAGTAAACGTAAAGAGTGAGGCCTGTGAAAAGTCAGGAAATAGCTCAGAGCTATGGGAAAGGATACAAGGCCACTTTTAAAACTAATACTATTAACTATTTTTACCAGCACAACACCAACAAGTTTACAATTTTATTACAATTAGTATTCACAAGTCACTGTTCCATGGTCCTTAGCTGGTAGTACCTTAACTTTAAAGAGATTAATACTTACTGCACCCATCCTCTGTTTTGACTTCAATGATTTTCTCTTCTTCCATCAGGTTCTCTTCATCGTGAGAGTTTACATTTTTCTCGTCTACAGTACTCTAAGGAAAAGAAAACTAAAGATCTAGCAAAAGAAACAAATGAGTTTTGCATATATACATTACAGCGCTCACAAAAACGTAAGGATATTTAACTTTTTTTCAGGATGAACATAAAAGCACCACTTTTACAGGTGAACTTAATTTGTCCTTCTCTAAACTTTTCAATGTCCAACACATCCCCTTTTTGTGAGCAGTGTATTATACAATGACATATTAGTATCGTTTACCGGTTCAACAGATATAGAAGCAGAACGCCCATATTTGTTTGATAACTTGGACTGAAAGATAGATGAATAGAACACAATGAGGGCCTCCACGATACGGGCCTGATGTGGATAGTCCACCAGAGAGGACAACGAGATTGTGGCTCCAGTGGGACGTGGTCGCATCAAAGACGGCCCAAAGACGATACCCAGGTTACTAGGACTCATCTTGTTATCATCCTCCAGCTCAGAAATCCTGAAATACAACAAACAAAAATGTGCTGGAGTTTGAAACTACAAAGCAATTGAAATGTATCATGTCGATCTTCTGAAAATAAACGGTTCTGTCCATTTTAGACAGAAGTCGTCTGAACTGAAATCTATAGCTCCCTTTGCTGAAGTATTTGTACAAGCAGCTTAGATCCACAATTTTGGAAAGCATGTAAACTGAACGGCAGAAGATCCGTTTAATGTTATTTGAAATGTCTTTTGTGTGTCAAATGTTTATTTGCTCCCAAACTGTGGTAAAATTAGAATGGCTTTAAATTTATGTATGAAACAAATCAAATTATGGTGGATCTGAATGTGTGGTTGTTTTCTTCATCTCTTTGGCAAAAAAAAAATATATATATCCTGTCTGGTTCTAATTATGTTTTACTGATCACATTCAATGGGCTCATAATGAAAGAGTTAAATGAACAAGTTGTGCTAACCGTCTGAGGTGGCGTACGATGTAGCGCAGCGTAGCAATGTTGGCCTTGGGCAGCTGCTTCAGAAGCCCCTTCAGTTTTTCAATGAGATTTAGGATCTCGGGGTTGGTGTCTGGGCCGAGGTCAACCAGCTCTGGGCCTTTTCCAACAGCGGGACCACAGGACTCTTCTCCACTGTCACTGTGCAGGCTCTCCTTCGCCAGCCCCATCAAGTGATTATACAGGTGGAACGGCAGTATTGGTTCTGGCAACTGGAAACAAAGATTTTAGTATTCATATTTTTCCAGTTTCCTCAAACCTAATTCTTGGATTATGAAGTTACAAATAATAACTAAGACCCTTTATTTGGTGGTCCTGGATTTTTAGGAACTGATATTTTTAGAGGGCAAGTACAAGTAAAACACAATAAGTAAACAATAAAGTAAAAATAAATTAAAATAACAAAAATAACAAAATTTAGCCAAGCTACATAAACTTCAAGGTGTTATCCAAATGTCAAAACATGTTTACTTTTCATGTCGGTATAATGTTAAGTAAATGTTAGACTCCTGTAGCACACACCTGTCTGAGATACAGTTTCAGGACGTTGCTGATGTCATGAGGAGAGCACTGGGACAGCTCCACCAGCTCTTTTCCATTCTCAAAGGCCTGACAAAGCTTTTCCACACGGGTCTTTACTCCATTGACTCTATAAATTCCCTTTAGAAATGAATTAAACACAAAGTCAATACGTAGTCTTAATACCATACTGTTAATCACCTGCCCACCTTCATTTTAAGTGCCCTCCTCTCAATCTCCGAGATACATTTGGTGATGATGAAGGGGATTCCGTCACTGGCGCAGTTGGCCACTTGAGAGAACTCCCTCCCAAAGAGCTGCAGACGGCCCTGCAGCTTCTTGTGGCCGCACTGGATTGCCAGAGTCTCCAGACAGCGCTTGTGACAGGCCAGGACACACTGGAAGCAATGATAGAAAAGTGAGTAAATATTTCTAAACTTGCAAACTTCCTTTGCAAACAAATACAAGCGCTGGATTAAGGAGGCCATCAAAATCAGGATGCATCAACCGAGATGAGGGAGGGAGCTTTCCTCCTGTCCCAAACATGGGACACCCTCCTCCAGAGACCACCGGGCGAGAGGGGGCGTGGTCAATCTGAACGACCTGCCAGGTCAATCAGGCTGACCACGCCTACTCAGGAAGTAACATCAGCTGATAAATGACACGTCATGACAGTTCTGAAGATGGCTCGCAGCTCTGCAGCCGAAACATGTTAACAAGGTAATACATCTTAACTTGACTTTCAAAAGAACTAAAAAAAACTATTTTAACACAAGACAAAATGAACCTTTTTGAATTGCAAACTTCCCATGCACTGACCTCCTCACACTCTGCTCCCTGGAAATACACATAACTGTCACATTCACGGCACTTTGATGGAGTCCTGAGTTTCCTGAGTCTGTGTGTTTGAGCAGCTTTAGACAAACCAATATTTCGAAATGGTCTTGTGGACACTACCACATCAGGATCCATACCATTTAAATCTGATGCAAACAAAAAAAGGCATTAACAAAAATAATTACATCAGTATAGATAGTTTTATTAAAGTAACGTACTTGGAGCTTCAAATGAAGCAACATTTCCATCTTTTTCATCTGCATCCTCGTTTGATGAGACCGTGCATGTAGAGGATGTTCGAGGGATTTTACTGATATCACCTTTGTAAACATTGTAGTAAGGTTTTGTTCAGGTATCGTCAATCAGAATCACAAAGTACAGAAGAATGAACTAACTTGTGCTAGCAGTGGGAGAATCCAGGCCTTCTCCACCAACACTGTCGTCACTCACTGTTGAGCTCCAGGATTTATGTCCCTGTCCTGAACAGGAGAGAAGAATAAAGTTGGTCGGTGGCCTGTCCTGTTGTGCCTGGTGCCATGCTGCCCCCTGGTTCTTCTTCGGAACGCCTTTCCTCAGCTCAGACTTAACAATAATGTACATGTACATACAATGCATGTATGTAGCAGTAGCTGTACAACTGTAAAATCAAGGTAACTACAGGTGGACTGGACTCACTCTTTCTCTGTGCTTCAGCCTCCCTGTCCTGTAGAGTGGCTGGACTTTCCGAGTGACTTGGAGGCTCTGTGTTGAAGCTGTCATTTCTGGGCCTGTGGCCATGGCTGTCACAGAAAAAAACGTTGTGTTTAAGCATTCATCAAACCCTAGTTTGAGATGTGTTCATAAAAAAATAATTAAAAAAATGAAATAAAAAAGCATTACTGTGAGGAACTGGGGGAGTAAGCCTCAAACGTGTACAGGACGGGGGGCTGCTCCGGTAGCTGCAGATCCTTGACGTGAGCAGCGTACTGCTGTCCCGGGTCATACAGTTTACTGCTCTCACACAGAGTCTGGTAGTGCACTGGCAGGGCCACTGTCTGCATGTGCATCAGCTGGTAGTATGAGATTGTTGCCTGAAAAATATTACAAGTCAATGACTGAGGCCTTAAGGGCCAAACTAGGAACATGTTTGATCATCATCATCACTGATGTATGACGTGTATGCTTCTGACCGATCGTAGCGTCTGGTCGCTCTGTTTGATGACGTCCTGCAGTTGTCGCAGCACAGTGACCTTTGTGTGGTCCAGGTCCAGCCTTTGTGCTGTGGCGTCTGCAATACATGTCCGGTACGTGGCCTCTGCTTCGTCAGCCTGGAACCATGTAACAACAACTCACCTATCATACCTAATGTTGTGTACAAATACAAGACATACGATTATCACAAAAAATTAGGGCACATCCTTAATGTTGAAAAAAGGGATGACAAGGAATTAAAAGTCAAACCTTTATTACCATACCTCATACCTCAAACCTTTAAATACACTCAACTGTCTTTGCAGATTCATCCTTAAATGTCCATATCGAACACATCACTGCAATTTATTTGAAAAACTGAACTGGTTGCAACCAAACAACAGACGTCACTTTCATTGGATGCAGTTCATTTTCAAATGTATTTATTTTAACTGTCCCCAATATTTAGAATTGTTTTTTGTCCCCAATTCACCAACCTATTTACTAAGAAGCACTGACCCCCCTCACCTTTTCTGTTCCAAGAATCCACAAAAGAAGTTGGAAGTAGAGCTTTTTCATACAAGGCTCCATATGATTGGAATAAGTTACCCACATACATAAGATCCTTAATCTCCTTTGGCTTTTTAAAATTCGAATTATCTAGATATCTTACCACTCCCTGTTCATGTTATTAGCTGTTTTTTTTCTATTATCATCATCATCATCATCATTATTAATAATAATAATAATATCTGGATGTATATTTCAAGTTGTATTATTCCATCATCTGCAGTATGTATGGCCTGTGTTTGACCATATTGTATACAGTAATGATGTATATGTTTTTTGAATGTGTCATTATAGTAGGAGGTGGAGTGGGATCTGAGGGAGCAAACCTGTCCTGTGTGTGTTAAATGTATAAATGTTAATTGTTTGTATACAGGGATCAAGAGTTCCGAGCTTCCGGCTCGACCGCACGGCATTGTGGGTAGTTTTCTCAAAAAAGTGGGCATCAAATCACGCTCTCCTATTAGATTACCTGTCGCGAGCGTGATCTCTTTTTTCCAGCCCATCGATTGTTTTAATTGCTACAAAAATCACCAATTTCAGACATTTAGAAGGTAAAGATTTTTTCATGTAACCACGTTTGTGGTTTTAGATGTAAACACAACCAACTGACGATAGAGCTACACGCAGCTTATGCTATTTACGAGGATTGAACGCTTACACGCGAGCTTTATAAACTTACCCAAAGCAGTATTTTAGACAGAGCCCTCAGAGCGTTTCATGAACTTTTAAATAACATTTTGTGCCCCAGGTATTTGGCCTTCTCTACATTCAGAAGCTCCACACCAGACAAATATGTCCAAAGTACAGCTTTGGGCAAGTTTATATAGCTCATGTAAGCATTCGATCCTCGTAAGTAGCATAAGCTGCGTGTAGCTCTATCGTCAGTTGGTTGTGTTTACATCTAAAACCACAAACGTGGTTACATGAAAAAATCTTTACCTTACCTTCTAAATGTCTGAAATTGGTGATTTTTGTAGCAATTAAAACAATTGATGGGCTGGAAAAAAGAGACAGATCACGCTCGCAACAGGTAATCTAATAGGAGAGCGTGATATGATGCCCACTTTTTTGAGAAGACTACCCACAATGCCGTGCTGTCGTGCAGGAAGCTCGGAACTCTTGATCCCTGTATTGTACTGTATTATATGTATTGTGATGGTTTTATGTTCATGGGACCCTCTCGAAAATGAGATGCTGCATCTCAAGGGGTTTTCCCTAAATAAATCAAATGCTGTAATCTTTGGCTACCATAAAACACAGAACTTTTCTAAACACAGTGAGAATCAACTAGTGACTGATGTATGGTACTGATAAAGACCTTGTTGCGAGCCTCATCCTCCAGGCGTTTTTTCTTCTCTACAGTTTTGGCGGTGGACCCTGCTCCCTCCTCCTCGGCTCGACTCGCTGCTGCTTTGGCCTTTTCATGCTCCTCACAACGGACCGTGTAGGACTGCTTCGCTTTCTTCAAGTTCACCTCACACTCCATCTAGTAGAATAAAGAACACGATGGAAGCACCTGGGAAGTGCTTATGCGATTTTAGTACTGTATGAATCCTAACCAAGACCGTAGAAATTAAGGAAAATTAACGGATATGGACATCTCTGATTTGCTCTTTTTAAATTATGAATGAGTCGTACCAATTTCCTTTTAGCTCGAATCCACTGATCTTTGATATCCTTCCTTTTCTTCTCATGTTCCTGTTTACGTTGCACCAATGGCTGTGTGGTCAACAAACAGATTTGGCTTCATTGAAACATTAAAAACAATAATATTAAACTACCAATAGTGGTTATAATACTTGAACGAAGGTCTGGCTGTGCAGAGTGGCGTTGGCCTGCTGCAGTCCCACGCTCTGCTCCTGGTCCTGCTCCAAGGCCAGTGAGTAGATGGAGAACAGAGGCATGTGCGGCTGCAGAGAAAAGAAATAAATTACAGTATACAGAGGCATTTCATTTATCCCCCATTGGCTTCCGCAGGCGGGACAGAAGGGAATTGGTTGAAGCGATTAGATAGCGCAATTAATAGTGACTAATTTCGTAAATTGTTATGGTCAAAACAGTAGACCATAACATTTGATCACACTATAATCATGGGTAAAAAAAATAACTGGTCAATTGTTGATCATCAAATTTGTCATCATCTGAATAGTACAGACTGAACACATGCCAGATACTAAATATGACGAAGACAGCTGCATTTATTATAATACCATTTTATTTATATGGCACTTTATTGGTCTCTCAACGATGCTTTACAACAAAACAAAAATAAACAAGTGTTTCTCGTGGGCACACAATAACATTTTATTGATTTAAGCATTAAAAAAATGATCATGGCTTAAAATTAATATTTACATGTGTGATGCTGTGTTTGCAGGACTGGTATAATTTCTGGAGACCCTTTGAAAACTCCATCTCTGGGAAAACAAAACTACACATTTGAATATGTTCCTCATTTCCAAACTTAAGATTGTCAGTGCATGACGTACCGAGCGAGGTCCTCTTCTCCACGTAGCTGATCAGGTCCTTCATGTATTTGGAGACTGTTTTGGCGTAGAGCAGAGCAGAGTCCACGCCGCCCTCACTGTGCTGAAGGATCACATCCACCGCTTCAACGCGTCCTAAACTCAACAGAAAAGTATTTTTGCATTTGTCAGCGTCGCGTAAACAGCAAGTAAATGCACTTCAGTGATTTGAGAGCAATAACAAAACAAACAAACATCAATGATAGCGCAAGTCTGGCATGATTACAAAATATAAATACTCAGGTATCGCAGCAAGTAAAATTGAAACTAATGGGTTGAATATACCACTTTGATGATTTGTAATAGATGCAGCACAAATACATTTACAAACATAAAGATATAAAATTTAATTTTTTTTGTCATGAATCAACAACAAGTGGGACGCAATCGTGAAGTGGAACGAAATTTATTGGATAATTTAAACTTTTAACAAATAAACTGAAAAGTGGGGCGTGCAATATTATTCGGCCCCTGCACTTCGTGCAGAAGTTCAGTGAGGATCTTTGAATGATCCAATGTTGTCCTAAATGTATATTTATATATATATAATTATATTATATAGACTGATCAGAGATGCAGCCAAGAGGCCCAAGATCACTCTGGATGAACTGCAGATAACTACAGCTGAGGTGGGAGAGTCTGTCCATAGGACAACAATCAGTCGTGCACTGCACAAATCTGGCCTTTATGGAAGAGTGGCAAGAAGAAAGCTATTTCTCAAAGATATCCATAAAAAGTCTCGTTCAAAGTTTGCCACAAGCCACCTGGGAGACACACCAAACATGTGGAAGAAGGTGCTCTGGTCAGATGAAACCAAAATTTAACTTTTTGGCCACAATGCAAAACGATATGTTTGGCGTAAAAGCAACACAGCTCATCACCCTGAACACACCATCCCCACTGTCAAACATGGTGGTGGCAGCATCATGGTTTGGGTCTGCTTTCAGTGTTGTGCGTGAACGAGTTCAAAAGAACGCGTTCATTGAACACGTTCATTTTTCCGTGAACGTTGAACTGAACGCAACACATTTTAAAAAAAGAACTTGAACGTGAATTAGTTCATTTTATGTGTCATGAACGGCAGACATCACTATGAACGTTGGAATCTGTTTTCTCTTTTGAAACGCAACAAGAGAAAGTTCCTCCCTCCTGTATTCTCGCACTTTTTCCGTTGAAAACTAAAAATTCCCACGGTTTCCACCGTCTGTGAACGCACCCCGACTGTGTTGCGGTCATAGACTGTATCGTTGCGGTGCGGCGCTGTGAGCTGGTGCTTTTCACATGTGCCCAAGTCGTGATGAAAACACAGGGTGAGTTAGCAACAAAGTTTACACCGTTTACATTTGACATAAAGTATAGACACACGCACTGCAGTGCATTACTGTCTGTAGTTTATGAGCAGAGATGGGGCAACTCCGTTTGGCTCCCTTTGAAAACCATGTAAATCTAGTCTGTTTTGTAGTCAAAAGGCTCTCCTCCTGTGGGTGTACAGGAGATTATATATATATATATATAGCTCGTAGTGTGATAAAAAGTATTTATTTGACTATTTCACCAAAAAAAGTAAAATGAACTGAACTTTGAACTAGTTCAGAATTAAAAATGTGAACTTTGAACGTGAACTGTTCACTTTGAGCATGTATGAACTGAACTTGAACTAGTTCAGAAAAGCTGTGAACTGGCACAACACTGTCTGCTTTTCTTCAGCAGGGACAGGGAAGATGGCTAAAATTGATGGGAAGATGGATGGAGCCAAATACAGGACCATTCTGGAAGAAAACCTGTTTGAGTCTGCAAAAGACCTGAGACTGGGACGGAGATTTATCTTCCAACAGGACAATGATCCAAAACATAAAGCCAAATCTACAATGGAATGGTTCACAAATAGACGTATCCAGGTGTTAGAATGGCCAAGTCAAAGTCCAGACCTGAATCCAATCGAGAATCTGTGGAAAGAGCTGAAGACTGCTGTTCACAAACGCTCTCCATCCAACCTCACTGAGCTCGAGCTGTTTTGCAAGGAAGAATGGGCAAGAATTCCAGTCTCTCGATGTGCAAAACTGATAAGAGACATACCCCAAGCGACTTGCAGCTGTAATTGCAGCAAAAGGTGGCGCTACAAAGTATTAGCACAAGGGGGCTAATATTGCACGCCCCACTTTTCAGTTTTTTATTTGTTAAAAAAGTTTAAATTATCCAATAAATTTAGTTCCACTTCACGATTGTGTCCCAGTTGTTGTTGATTCTTGACAAAAAAAATGAATTTTTATATCTTTATGTTTGAAGCCTGAAATATGGCGAAATGTTGAAAGGTTCAAGGGGGGCAAATACTTTATCTGTGGCAATGCATTTTCTAAATGTGTTTGGTTTGTAGTTTTCTTATTGGGGTCATTCGTTTGTACTAAAGTTAACGGAATTGTATTAATACAAAGCGGTGGCACTATAAAAATAGTATTCTGCAAAAGTATTAAATTAAGTTTATATTGACAACACAAACTAAAATGCACATCAAAACTATGGGCAGCATCAGAGAGTCTGTGGTATGAAAACTCATTCAGATTAGGGAGTGTGCACGTACCCGGGTCTTGCAACTCCCCTCTGAACTGACTACCGTCTGATCCAGCAGCAGCGCACAAGTTTTCCATTGACTACAAAAGAGAAAATCTCAAAATTAATGCAGAAAAGCGATATAGATTTGTTTAACAGATGACACAAAGATAATGAGGAAAATTAGTCTCACCCTACTCTTCTCCGTGGGCAGCAGAGAGAGCAGTGTGCTGCTGTCCACCTCTCCCATGAGCAGTTCAGACACACTGCAAGAGATTTTGTGAATAAAACGTGAAGCATGGGTATAAAAGCTGAAAAAAAGTTGAAACTAACTAAAAATATTTACATTTCTATTTAAGGAAGTCATCTGTTTTCAAATTCTGATTATTTAACTTCACAGAAAATATCACTTCAATTCAAGAGAATAACAATCAGAGAGGATAAACATTTGACCTTCCCTGACTTTCAGCTCTGTGGTCAGCCTCTTTCCGTCTCCAAAGAGACAAAGTATCTGGGACACTTTCTCACAGATGACTGGCGTGATGACAGAGACATTAAAAGACAGTGCTGTAAACTTTATGCCCAGGCGAATACATTGATGAGGAGGTTCAGCATGTGTTCTTATCCTGTTAAATGTGCTCTGTTTTTAGCGTACTGCACTCCGCTTTATACAGCTCCTCTGTGGACCAAGTACAGTCGCAGGTCCTTCCACAGACTCACAGTGGCATACAATGATGCCTTCAGGCTGCTGCTCCGGGTGCCCAGGTGGCACAGTGCCAGTGAACTGTTTGTGAGCGCCCACATTCACACCTGTGAGGCTCTGATACGGCATCTAACCTTTCGGTTCAAGGAACGTCTGGAGGACTCTGAGAACGGTATCATTCGGACTCTGACCAACGGTAGAATGAGCTCATGTCGCTACACGTCTGCTCTGAGAAAGCACTGGACAGATACACTTTATCAAATTTACATCTGCTGGGAATGATACTATATATTTGAATGCATTGTCCTTTTATTGTTTATCTTTTTATTTTTTGTATGGACCAATTTTATCTTGAGTCTGAAGATTAATAATAATAGAGCATTTGTACATGTAAATGCTGGCGTGGTCCACATCTGATTTTAACTTTAACAAAATGTCCACAAATTGTGTAAACATACTGAAACAAGTAGTTGTGAGACTATGAGGAAACAGACATGTCGGGCAGATTTCAACTGTCTCAGCCAACTTACTTCCTCTTTAACTTTTTGACTCAAGGCTTAATCTGAAATGCCTCTAGTTACGCATATGTCTACGTTCAGAATTGAAACATTTATTAGTAACACAATTTGTTATGTTATTTCATTAAGCACTTATTTTGTTAGTTATCAAACAATTCAAACAAGTAACACATGGCAAGATCTGACCAAAGGTGATCGCGCCTGTTTAATTTCAGTCAATTCCGTATTTCCCAAAACCTTTCATAAGAGAACATCTTGATTTGACATTAAATGTGTTGTGTTTCTGGTTGTGTCACAGAGTGTAGATCAAAAACCACTTCCTGTTTTCAGCTCTGCCGCATGCATCATCACTGCACTTCTCGTTACCAATAACAGATCACTTTGTACTACCACTGTTTTCACTCTATTTAAACATTTGTAGCCATTAATTAAAATACACAAAAGCGTTGATTTATGACACAGTAGGAATATTCCACTATACGTAAAATAGAACAATTCCAAAAAATCTAGAGAAATTAATGTTATACTTACTTGCTACTAAAGGCGACTGCTATAGTCTCAATGGCTTTCTCAAAGTCCATTTTTCCGGCTTCATTGGGGGCCTCATAGTGGAAACCTAAAAATTAAATCCAGGCTTAATATAATTTTGAAAATGTAATATTGAAAATGTGTTGAATCATCGTCATTAAAGATGCAGTCAGTGATTCTTTCCAGACAATTTTTTTTAAATATTGTGGAAAAACTTCCCTATACCCTAAAAGTAGTCAAGTTATGTGTTTTCAAATAGTAATGAATTGACCAGGTGTCTATAGTCTCCAAAAATGTATAAAAAAATATTTTGGAGCAGACCAATAAAAATAAACCAATGAGATGCGTTTTCCCTGCTTCACCCTCTTCCTGTATCTCGCGAGTGTGCGCACCTGAGTTTTCGGATTATCTAAAACTTTAGCTGTAGTTGGTGCTAGGGCTAAGCTAACAAAATCGCTTACTGCACCTTTAAATAGATCTTATTACAAGACATACACTAGCAAGCCATGTTTCAGAGTTTTGTAGATTCCAATCTCCAATTACTTTCATTTTGCCCTTTAAACTCATTAAAGACAAATATGCAAAATAATCCTTTGAGCTTTTAATCTAGTCACGACATAGTTCCTCATCATAAACAGATCAGAATACTTTGAGTATGGCATCATGCTCAGAGCGGTTTTCTACCTACTAAAACAAAAGTGTTGCCCCTAAATTAGTTACAGTGCCTTGCGAAAGTATAGTATGAACCTTTCAACATTTCGCCACATTTCAGGCTTCAAACATAAAGATATAACATTTTAATTTTTTGTCATGAATCAACAACAAGTGGGACACAATCGTGAAGTGGAACGAAATGTATTGGATTATTTAAACTTTAATAAATAAAAAACTGAAAAGTGGGGCGTGCAATATTATTCGGCCCCTTTACTTTCAGTGCAGCAAACTCAGTCCAGAAGTTCAGTGATGATCTTTGAATGATCCAATGTCCTAAATGACTGATGATAATAAATAGAATGCACCTGCTCTTTGATAGTCTAAGGGTTACGTTTAAAGCGCAGAGAGAACCATGAAGACAAAGGAACACACCAGTTAGGTCCGAGATAATGTTGTGGAGAAGTTTAAAGCCGGATTTGGATACAAAAACATTTCCCAAGCTTTAAACATCTCAAGGAGCACTGTGCAAGCAATTGTATTGAAATGGAAGGAGTATCAGACCACTGCAAATCTACCAAGACCCGGCCGTCCCTCCAAACTTTCATCTCAAACAAGGAGAAGACTGATCAGAGATGCAGCCAAGAGGCCCATGATCACTCTGGATGAACTGCAGATAACTACAGCGTCTGTCCATAGGAGAGTCTGTCCATAGGACAACAATCAGTTGTGCACTGCACAAATCTGGCCTTTATGGAAGAGTGGCAAGAAGAAAGCCATTTCTCAAAGATATCCATAAAAAGTCTTGTTTAAAGTTTGCCACAAGTCACCTGGGAGACACACCAAACATGTGGAAGAAGGCGCTCTGGTCAGATGAAACCAAAATCAAACTTTTTGGCCACAATGCAAAACGATATGTTTGGCGTAAAAGCAACACAGCTCATCACCCTGAACACACCATCCCCACTGTCAAACATGGTGGTGGCAGCATCATGGTTTGGGCCTGCTTTTCTTCAGCAGGGACAGGGAAGAAGCCTAAAATTGATGGGAAGATGGATGGAGCCAAATACAGGACCATTCTGGAAGAAAACCTGTTGGAGTCTGCAAAAGACCTGAGACTGGGACGGAGATTTATCTTCCAACAAGACAATGATCCAAAACATAAAGCCAAATCTACAATGGAATGGTTCACAAATAGACGTATCCAGGCGTTAGAATGGCCAAGTCAAAGTCCAGACCTGAATCCAATCGAGAATCTGTGGAAAGAGCTGAAGACTGCTGTTCACAAACGCTCTCCATCCAACCTCACTGAGCTCGAGCTGTTTTGCAAGGAAGAATGGGCAAGAATTCCAGTGTCTCGATGTGCAAAGCTGATAGAGACATGCCCCAAGCGACTTGCAGCTGTAATTGCAGCAAAAGGTGGCGCTACAAAGTATTAGCGCAAGGGGGCCGAATAATATTGCACGCCCCACTTTTCAGTTTATTTGTTATAAAAGTTTAAATTATCCAATAAATTTCCTTCCACTTCACGATTGTGTCCCACTTGTTAATTCTTGACAAAAAAATTAATTTTTATATCTTTATGTTAGAAGCCTGAAATGTTGAAAGGTTCAAGGGGGCTGAATACTTTTGCAAGGCACTGTATTAGGGAAATATCTCAGGTGAAATGGCATTGTTTACAACCACATTCTTCATTCTTAAACTTGATGATCTCAGAAAATACTGCGATCATCATGTTTAAGAAACAAACATAGTGCTTCATATTTTTTCCTTTAAATCCTCAGGCAAAAAAAAAAAAAAAAAAAAACCCACATCTAAGTTTTAGCATCTTGTAAAATAAAAAAATAAAAACTAAACAGACCTTTAACTTTGGATATGAGATTTCCGGCCGCGGTGAGGATCTCCACAGTGTTGAGCAGTGGGTACGTGTTGATGACCTGACGCAGCACCCGCAGCACCTCACCCAAACACTCGTGAGCTACGGGACGCTGGCTTTCTTCACCTGCAGACAGAAGCAGAGGGAGAGATGGGGGGGGTGGTCCATGAAGCCACTAATGAGGGCCGAGAGAGGAATCCTTTGTCCCCATGAGTTTGACTTGTGGTCTATTCATCTATCTAAGGCTATATCCACACGAAGACAAAACGCTTATAATTTCAGAAACTTTTTCTGTAAACACAGAGTTAGCTCAGTAAATGTGTGTGTCCATATGAATGTAGTCAATACGCCTGAAAACGCTGTGAAACTATGCCAGACCTGTTGGTGGCGCTGTGACGCAATGACGGGATCAAGCCCAAACTTCCGTGGGCATGCGCGGAATTTTGTAAACAGACAACATGGCGAGTGGGCGAGCTGGTACTACATTAGTATGAACGGACGATGAGGTTGAACTGTTGCTTCGGGTCACACTGGATTATAAAACCAACAAGCTACATTGTTGTTGTCATTATTTTCTGAGTGCGGCGCATGCGTGCTTTAACAAGAGGCGGGGCGATGACGCAAGCGTCTCAGATACATTGCGGAGAGGCAGTAACCACGGAGCGGCATATACGGAGTTTTGAAATCTTTCCACTCTGGGACCTGGTTTCAAAAATGTTCGTTTACACCCCCCCAAAACGCCGGCCTCGTATGGACGATACACTGGATTGATAAAGTATTATTGCGTTTAGGCCTGAGCTTGACTTCGTGTGGACAGGGCCTAAGGCTGAGTTTACACGGAGACAATGTGGCAGTAAAACGGTATAGTTGGATGTCGGTTCCTACCAACCGTTCATACGAAGACTGTGTTCCAGGGGGGTGAAAACGTAAGTGTTCAGATCCAGCCTGCAGAGTGGGACAACTCAGAAACGCTGCACAGCAGGGAGCTTTTTCACACCCGCGAGAGGGGAATAGGTGTGAACTCCCCCTCTGCTCTGACCCCCGCCTCCGCGCTGCTCCCCGCACGTAAATTTGGACATGCGCAGTAGCGGAGAACAAACAAAAACAATAATGGCGCCGCCCACACAAACTAGCTACGTGGGCTTCCAGCGCGGGACAGAGGATAATTCTACACCTTCGTTCGTCCAAACGAGACCACGCGAAGCTCTAGGTTCAGTTCCCATTTTCACAGCTGCTGTTAAAAGGCAGAAAGATGTTGGTGCGTTCTGAGGGTCTGGCACAGGAAGTGAGTACACTGCCGAGAGGGGGGCTGGGCACGGGGCTGGGGGGTCGTGTGAGTGTTGTAAAGTTTCTCTGCCCACTACTGGCCGGGCGCTAGAACTACATCGTTTTTCAACCTCATGTGAACGCTGAGAAATTTGCATTAGGAGCCAGGTCGTTTCTGTTAATAGCCTGGAAACGTATGTGCAGCGTCTCAGTATAAACAGGGCCTAAATATCAGTGAAGGTGATTTTTGTACAGGTATAAGTTTAAATACTATGCCGGTTTAATATCAGCCAGTAAACATCCAATACATTTCTATTCCCACCCCGTCTGCTGAAGGGCACATTGTTTTAGTAGGGTTTAGTTTTATGTGTAAGACAAATTCCCCTCAAGACCAATGAAAGGTTCTCTTGTTCATAAGCCTTTCCTGCACAGAGCTGCAACCTTGATACCTTTTTTCTCATAGTTAAGATCAAATACATAATGTGCTTTTGGAATCCACTTTAAACCCTTATATTTAAGGGGTAAGGCCTGTGCAAGTGGGTCCAACCAACATAGAACTATGTTTCTTACAATCAATGTAATGAAGTAGTGATATGATCCTGAAAAATAACCAATTAAAATGAAAACATTGTTAAATCAGATTGATTGTGACAGGCGAAAGGAGAAGGAAGTGTGCACAAAGCCACTCTGCCAAAGGCTATATCATCACATCACAGCTTCCTGTTGAGCTCTCATACAGGACGAAAAGAGAGACAGATTAGGTACCGAAGAAACATTTACATTAATATAAGGAATTTTAACATGGATATTTGTTACATATTGAACTTTTTCCAATGCTGTCAGTTTCACTCTTACCTATGAAAACCCTTTTCTCACCTTTTCCCCTTAAGTTGAACTGATTTTGCTCCGGAAATTAAACTTAAGCCAATTTATAACCTCTTTTTTGTCTCACACAGACATGTGCGTGTCAGATGCCATCGGCAAACTAAATAAGGAAGAGAGAGGCTAAACACTATTGTTCTGATCATTGGCCATCTACAATTGCAGAGTTTTCCAGAGGAACTATAAATTCTGTTGTTGCTAAATAAAAGACTGAAAATCAGTATATATGATGTCCAACTTCATGAGGACAAACTTAAAAGACTTGTAATAGAATGGAATTTTACTAAGGTGGAATCCCATTGAAAGAAAACTTGCCAACAGACTTCTTTGCGCGTATTAAAAAGATAATCCTGGATAGACTTACCTTCGACCATCACCACATCCTTGAGTTTCTCCACGGCCTCAGCAAAGCGGGCCACATCTCTGAGCAGAGCTGGGATGTCCTCCACGTCCAGAGCAGTGCTCTCAGGGCTGTCAGCCGGAGCAGTGGGCGTCAGAGCACCTTTTCCCTGGCCCCGAGTGAACACCCACGACTGCAAGGGAAAACCTGGACACAGGAAAACAGAATTAAGCTGTACATGATGTTTAATAGGGTACAGAATTTTTTAATAAAATATTTTAGAGTAATCTGTACTTTGATAACATTATCTTTTGGAAGAAAAACACAAGTGCTTTTTACATCGGAGCTGGACACACAAGCTGCTCTGCTGAGTGACGATCTTCCATTTCTCAGGACAAGCTCATCTCCAGGACGAGGGGTCGAACTGGTTGGATGACTGCCCACCCTTGTTATGTACTGTTCAAGGCTGGACTCTACAGTCCATCTGCACCAGAAGCAGTCCATCTTCCCCTCTGCCGTTGGAGTCATGGACACGTTATGACTTATGTCACTTATTCATTCATTTTGTCAATTATCTATTCATTTGTTCATTCTGTATTCAAATTAAAATAATCAAAATACTATAATTTAAATGTTGTCCATGGACAATAACATGAAAATGGCCTTATCCTTGACATGAGCAGATTGTTGAGGCTGACCTGCTGCACTTGCATGTCTGCTGAGAGACGTGGGCCTCCGCAGGGTCCCCACAGGAGAACTCATGCCCTGTATTCTGCCGACACTGGGGGTCCCGGGACAGGATGTGGAGGGGTCCAACAGGCCGGCAGTGTTCGGGGAGAGCGTGGATGCACTTGGCGAAGAGGAGAGTGCGCCGTCCACAGCATCTTTACGAGGCTGCTCCTGAAGAATGGATAGCTGGAAAATAATCACATTATATTTGACCACACCGTTCATACTAGCCTTTCCCTCCTGGCTTCAGTGTCACTAGAGAAAGTCTTACTGTTTAACTTTTCAATAGCGCAAAAGACAAAATTCTTTAGTCAAAATAATCCAAAAGAAATTACTTCTTAAACTTGTGACTGACTATAGAAGTGTACAATATAAAACAAAAACATAGTAAAATGTGTAGCAGCAAGAAGAATCCAAGGAAGTGAAGGAATTGACAAATCCATTTTGTATTGTGTATTAGTTTAAAACACGCTTTTGGGGTTTAGTGGCTCTATAATTGGAGCCACTAAATTATAGAGCCACTCTATAATTAATAATCAATTATTTAATTACAACATTAAATAATTGATCCAACCTTAAATCAATATTGCACCTATTCATGCTGGATCAGATCATCTGACGTACATTCGCTAATGACAGATATTACTAGTTGGAGTCTGTGGCTGGATTTTTTTTTTTTTTAAATGAAGCACAATCTTGTAACATGAACTATATAAATAGTGACACAGTGATGATGTTGGTAAACACACATCAGGAGGACCTCCACAAGATCCTATGTCGAGTTGTGTAACACTTCCTGACTTCAAGCAGCTAAAGGGTGGGGTGAAACCAGCAGCGTATAAGGCAAAAGCACATGAAGCATTTGTAATTTTGGTCATTTACAAATCAGCCAATAAATGCCAATTATACATACATGGGAAATCATATTAAATTCACACCAAAGAGAGGTAAAGTGTTTATATTTCAAACAAATTAGAGCCTCTTTTAGTAATAGTATTTAAACAGTTAATCCTACCTGTTTAAGCCATGTACTGTGCTTGCTGGGCAATATGTCCAGTTTTTCTTTGCTTTTAGGATCATTTTTCTTGACTCTCTGTCCAGTCGAATAAGGATTGCAGCTTTTTCCTCCTCGCTTCAACATATTCAGATGCTACTGTCCCATGCTCAACCCCATGCCACACTTACACTTCCTATTGAGATTGTGCAGATAATCTAGTCATCTAAAAACTTTTAAGTAGAACTATAACGTAAGGAGCTTGTCACATCAGCCTACTCTCAAAGAAGTCCAACTCAAACGGATGCGCAGCGGCTGTCTGTCAAGTGCGCGCCCGGTCATCTGACAGAGCGTTTAAAAAAAAAAAGAAAAAAAAAAAAACAGAAGTTATGCTAGTTTGCACCATGTGTTGTACTCACGGCTGGGGCGCTGCTCTGTGGCCCGGGGCTTCCTGCTCGGCTCCTCTTCGTGATAGATGGAGTTTTTATCAATTCGCGCTTCTTTCTGGTAAACATCTTGAGCGTGCTTTTGCCGTCCATGCCGACCTCTTTGAGCTTCAGGCACAGGCTCCCCACCCAGCCCCCGACTCGCCACTTGTGAGACGGTGATCCGTGAGAGCTCAGCGGGACCTCGGTGGCTCCAGGGGCGAGTTTGAGCCAAGAGCGGCGCACGTCTGTCTTCCTCCTGTCGCACATCGAGCTGCGCAGCCTCAGTGACAGAGAGAGACACTGCTCACCGCAAACTGCCACCGGGCATCCGCTCCCTCTCAGTTCAGCGGGAGCCAGGCACCTGTGGACGGCATGAGTTTGAGCCAAGTTGGTGATTTTTTAGATGGACGACTGTGTTGTGTTGTGGAGAGGATCAGGCAGATGTAGCGCTCGGGAAAGTGTGTTAGTAATCAGTGGCACGTGTGAAAGGCGCCATGGACGTAAACACACGCGGCAACGTCAAGTAAATAAAATTGTAAATAAATAATGATAATAATAATAATACACCAAACTTATACAGCACTTTTTGGACACTCAAAGACGCTTTACCAAACACATCAAATAAATATGGAAGAAACAGGTGGGTTTTGAGAAGTGAAGTTCCAGAGAGTGAGGTGGGGCCGGGGGCAACTGCAGTGATGGCTCAAGGTTACCCCTCAAGGTTCGTTGTTTAGTCCTGAGGGGAGCAAGGTTGGATTCTGCGATGCTGAGGGGGAGGGTGGGACAGTGAAGATGGAGGTCAAAGGCTTGTTCATGATGGTATCCTTTGTAGTAATTTGTTTCATATGTCAGTGTTGTTTAAAGCAAAGTTCATATCGGCTGTGTTTGCTGTGTGTGAAAAAATAAGTAATATAAATTATAGCTGTCCTACTTCACTTTTTGCTTCAATGATAATACATGTTGTTTGAAAGTTTTGTAAAATTACTTTTTTTTGCTGATAAACGGTATAAATGAGTGTCCAATAGTGTTGTCTACATATCCTGGTCATAATCTTGTCACTTTGGTGCAAATTAGTTGAAAGTTAAACTTTCTGCCTAAAACCGTCTGTGAGGCGCCATCTGCTGGCGACCTGTATTACTACATTTGAATTTTGAATCTGGCGCCAACACTGGCACAGAAGTTGGACCTGACGTCTGAAGCAAGACCTGACGTCAGCAGGACTAAACTAAAGGTAATACATGGACCTACGTTCAGTCTATGGATCTATGGCGGTAAAGTATTTTACGTCGAAGAATAATAATGTTAATGCTAAATAACATTTTGTTGTGCTCACGTTTTGGACAATTTAGATTTAATTCTTTTTTTTTTTTTGGATGGGACAGTGCAAGGTAATATTGTGTTTTAATTGTGTTAAAAGCCCATAGGGACGGACATTGCAAATTAGCCTTGGCTATAAATGTAGTGTTTCACCTGTTGATTGTGCACACTTGTCCCTATCAAATAAATCAATACACAAATAAATAAAATAAACATGCCTCTGGATTGAAGCCTTGGGATGATTTGCATCCATTGTCCCTCAGTCACACAAACACTCATTCATTTACAATAACAGAGCGTTCTGATACGCTTCACATACCTGACTTATATGACTAGTGGACACTTGTTTAGTGGTTTTACGTCTTAAAATGACGTATTTTTGTCTCAAATGAGCAAGAATTGAGTTGCCTGTTTCTTTGGTGAAATTCAGCTGGTTTAGTCTCTACTTAAACTGGTGCACATGATTAATCAGAGTCACTGCTCTTGTTGCAGGGAAAACACTGGCAATGTGGATTAGATGTAATTGGAGGAACAATTTACCCTATAGGAAACGCTAGCAACCCTAACCCAAATGATCCAATCAGGAAAATGACAAGGAATAACAGGAAATTTAACAACTTAATGACAAAGAATAACATGCAGATAAATATGGCTTGGAACAGGATCTCAAACCCATTAATTACAATATTATAACAGTAAAAACATTTTTTTATTGTAAAAAACAAACACATGCACATATTAACCAAAGAATCCAACATTATAACATGGAGTACAAATATATTAAAATACTTTGCAGCTAAACTGAAGTGACCATCAATGATGAATAGGAAATGGATGCAGCTGCAATGATGCATTTTTGACTGTCCATTTAAAACAACAGTTCGTCTGTCTATAGTTCTGTAGCAGGACCCCATTCAATGTCCTCAGTCTCGTCATCATCAATTTCATCTTCCTCTGAGCTGTCGCTGCCTCGGATCTGTGTGCGTCTGAACTGAACGGCCTGGTGATGGTGCGCCAGCCTGAGCCACAGACACAAAGTATTTTAGTCAACAGCTCACTGAAGGAACCACACACATACAGTGCCTTGCGAAAGTATTCGGCCCCCTTGAACCTTTCGCCACATTTCAGGCTTCAAACATAAAAATATAAAAATTAAATTTTTTGTCAAGAATCAACAACAAGTGGGACACAATCGTGAAGTGGAACAAAATTTATTGGATAATTTAAACTTTTTTAACAAATAAAATACTGAAAAGTGGGGCGTGCAATATTATTCGGCCCCCTTGCGCTAATACTTTGTAGCGCCACCTTTTGCGGCAATTACAGCTGCAAGTCGCTTGGGGTATGTCTCTTATCAGTTTTGGACATCGAGAGACTGGAATTCTTTCCCATTCTGCCTTGCAAAACAGCTCGAGCTCAGTGAGGTTGGATGGAGAGCGTTTGTGAACAGCAGTCTTCAGCTCTTTCCACAGATTCTCGATTGGATTCAGGTCTGGACTTTGACTTGGCCATTCTAACGCCTGGATACGTCTATTTGTGAACCATTCCATTGTAGATTTGGCTTTATGTTTTGGATCATTGTCCTGTTGGAAGATAAATCTCCGTCCCAGTCTCAGGTCTTTTGCAGACTCCAACAGGTTTTCTTCCAGAATGGTCCTGTATTTGGCTCCATCCATCTTCCCATCGATTTTAGCCATCTTCCCTGTCCCTGCTGAAGAAAAGCAGGCCCAAAGCATGATGCTGCCACCACCATGTTTGACAGTGGGGATGGTGCGTTCAGGGTGATGAGCTGTGTTGCTTTTACGCCAAACATATCGTTTTGCATTGTGGCCAAAAAGTTGGATTTTGGTTTCATCTGACCAGAGCGCCTTCTTCCACATGTTTGGTGTGTCTCCCAAGTGGCTTGTGGCAAACTTTAAGAGACTTTTATTGGATATCTTTGAGAAATGGCCACTCTTCCATAAAGGCCAGATTTGTGCAGTGCACGACTGATTGTTGTCCTATGGACAGACTCTCCCACCTCAGCTGTAGTTATCTGCAGTTCATCCAGAGCGATCATGGGCCTCTTGGCCGCATCTCTGATCAGTCTTCTCCTTGTTTGAGATGAAAGTTTGGAGGGACGGCCGTGTCTTGGTAGATTTGCAGTGGTCTGATACTCCTTCCATTTCAATATAATTGCTTGCACAGTGCTCCTTGAGATGTTAGCTTGGGAAATCTTTTTGTATCCAAATCCGGCTTTAAACTTCTCCACAACAGTATCTCGGACCTGCCTGGTGTGTTCCTTTGTCTTCATGGTTCTCTCTGCGCTTTAAACAGAACCCTGAGACTATCAAAGAGCAGGTGCATTTATACGGAGACTTGATTACACACAGGTGCATTCTATTTATCATCATCAGTCATTTAGGACAACATTGGATCATTCAAAGATCCTCACTGAACTTCTGGACTGAGTTTGCTGCACTGAAAGTAAAGTGGCCAAATAATATTGCACGCCCCACTTTTCAGTTTTTTCTTTTTTTTAAAAGTTTAAATTATCCAATAAATTTCATTCCACTTCACGATTGTGTCCCACTTGTTGATTAATGACAAAAAATTTAAATTTCATATCTTTATGTTTGAAGCCTGAAATGTGGAAAAATGTTGAAAGGTTCAATGGGGCCGAATACTTTCGCAAGGCACTGTATGCTTTCTTTCTCACTTACACTATGAACGTGGGGGTCTTCCTCTCCTCCGGTTGTGCTTGTGGTTCTGCCTGACGAGCCTTTGGGGCAGAAATATTTCATTAATATTTAATTTTTGCAAAACCTGTCACAATAAATATAATCATATTTATTATCATATTTGTAATCTTTTTTCTTACTACATTAAAAAATAAAGACAGGAAATTCTAGGTCTGTCACACTCACTGATATTTTGAGATTTATAATTCTAAGTACTTCATATTTAAGTATTGTGTTTATAGGCTCTGAAGAAGAGTTTACATTCTTATTGTCATATTGTAAATAGTAGAAAATTCTTGTTTACTGCAATATTTTGTGGTGGAAATATACTGTATTCATATACGTATTTAAACAGTTTAAATGTGTGTACAATTGAATAATAAACTTGATAAAACAATGAATGATTTATTCATTATTAACAGTATTAATGTCACACAGGCAAGCACATGATCCATAGCAACTAAAATAGTTAAATAGGTTAAAACAAACCTGCTCGAGTTTCTCCTCTATCGCTGAAAGACTTGCGAGCTGTGGACTTTCTCTAGCCTCTTCCTCCTCCTCCTCTTCATCGGCCGACTGCTCGTGCACAGAGTACCTCAGTGTGGGGTCTGGTGCCACAAAGTCAGGCGGTCCTTCGGAAGGGGTCGTGGGCTGAACTCCCTCCAGAGCACTGAAGTCTGAGTCTGTGAAACTGCGGTGGACCGTTTCCTCCTCCTCGGTCGGGCTTTGCGAGGGGCTGTAGTTCTCCGGCCTGTAGGTTCTGGGCTCCGGAACGTGCATGAGTGGTGGGATCTCTCTGTGGTCTCTGTGGGAACTGCTATCTGAGGTGTGATCCGGAATGGGGCTGTCTCCGTACGCGGGTTCAGAAGAGCGGGCTAAGGCTGAGCTGGTCCCTCTGGAAGTATGTTTGGCTCGGGGAGGGTCCTGGCTGGGGTATGCCTCCTCTAGCTCCTCGTTGTCAGTGTATGCGTCATCAGTAAAGCCCTCTCCGTCTGTGTCCTCCAAGTCGCTGGCTGCACTCAGATAGTCTGACGTGGTTTGGTCCAAGGTATCCAGGTCCTGCTCGCCACCAGCCTCCAGCTTACAACAGACAGAAAAGGATAAGAAAGGTATTATTATTAAAGCTGGCCTATCTTGAATTATACATTTAGTTTTCCCAAACAGAAATAATCTCGTTAAAAATTCATTAGCGGTTAGAGTTAAATCATACCATGTTGTTTATACAAAAATAGATGAGACTTGGGTGGCAGCTCTGATTGCCACCCCCCTGACCCAGAAATGGATTAAAGGGAAGAAAATGGATGGATGGATGGACAATAGCACATCAGAAACGAAGGGTGCTGTTACTGGTTCGGATACAGTTTAGTCCAAATGATGATGGAGGGTTACATATGATCATAATTACTTAATAAGTTGCTTCACTTCTAAGTCATCTGAGTGTTATGTCACAGCTGTGTGGATTAGTTATATTTGTCATAGAAATGTATTATTTCATGTTACATAACAAAAGTTTAAGGTTCTTACCGTGACTTCAGACACCCAGACAGGTTTAGATTGTTGATGGCGAATTTTATCTTTCAACACCTCATACCAAACATGATTGTGGGGCTGCAAGTCAATACGAGCTGTAAAGAAAAATGCAAAAAAATAAAAGGATTTAGGTTATTTTACATCATAAGAAGTGACAAAGTGAACATTTCAGAATCCAAATAAAATCTAATTCTAACAAAATAACTTCTTGAGAGAGTCATTACAAGAGAATAGGTGACTGCAGTCCTTGCGGAGCTTGAGTGCCTGGGAGAAGAGTCGTCTGGAGCTCTTGTTGGAGTTGGGGCTGTACCGCTGCCTCATGGCTTTAACATCTTTTCGACTGTGAGGGTCCAAGAACAACACCATTGGGTGATACTGGATGTAGTTCAGTCTCTCCACTGCAGTGGGAGTGATGTCCAGCAGGGGGTGCTTGTCCTGAAAGGTAATGTGTAAATATTGATACATTTATGAAAGGAACTCCTATCTACTGCTTGTATCTATAAATCCAAGGCTTGTATCCAGAGAGTTTTCTCACCTTCTCTGCTATTCTCCGCACGGTATCCAGTTTAATGACTGTAGAGGCGCTGTCTTCAGAGCCACTTCGAGGAACCATCTCTGCAACACACATTGAGAAGATGTTTTTATAAATATTGTGACAAGTAAGTAAGTAATATTTCATGATGGTGTTTTTCCACACACCATGGTGGGTGAACTGGAGTTTTATATTATTTTATATATAATGATGTATGGAGGAGGACACAAACCTGCCACTTCGTATTCATCAGGCATTTCCTGAGCCAGCTTCTCCATTGCGATATCATTGAGAGGTCCCAGAATGACAATTGGCCGTTTGAAATTTGCTGTAAAACATGAATTACTTTTTATAATAACGTTGAATAAGTACTGTTGAAAATCCTTATGATATCACATTGAATCATTTACACTGAGTCAGCGTCGTGAAAATAACATCTCGACACAAACCTTCTCGGAGCAGGACCCTCTCGTAGGCGGGGAACTTTCCCTGTATGGTGAGCTGCAGCAGGTCTTCCCTCGTCCGCCTGCTCTTATCGTTTTTCTTGTTTCCTCTCAGACCACGGATTTTCCAGAATTCCGCTCTCGGCCCAGAATCAGTCTTTGTTCTTCCTCCAATAGCCCGCTGCGCCTGCTCCATGGCGGCAAACTTCTCAGCCCTGAAAGATGCAATAGAATTAAACTTAGACAAATTTAATTACATGGGAATTACTTAAAAAGGTATTTAAAAGTTAAGTATAGTAACAGAAGGGAGAACGTTGTTTGGATAATAATGTAGTGGTTTAATTATTAAACATTATATATCACGTAAAGCGTTCGTAATCAGAGGCATGGTTTAGGGACTTTTTTTGACAAGTAGAAATAGAAATAAATGTACACCTTGAAATTGTAGTAGTCAGACTTAACTTTCGTCCTTTACATACACAGGTTTAAATGTCGAGTAGTGATGTCTGACCTGGCCTGGTTGGGGATGGTGCCCTTGTCGAGCTCGTGCAGGTCGTTGCCTATTCGAATGGCCATCCAGCTGCCCAGCTTCCCCTTGTACATGGTGTCAACCACCCGGAACACCTCTCCTCTGGTGAAGTTTAGGCCAATGGAGCCCTCTGCTTCATGGTCGTAATGTGTCCGGACATAAAAATTGTCTCCCAGATTGGATTTAATAATCTTCCTATAAACTGTAATATACATGTTGTTTTAGTCCCAATCCATAAATATAAAAGTGCATGTTTTATTTACTACATATTTCACTCACGATCCATTTTATTCTGTGTGCCGATTGCCACCCGCTCTCCGTTCTTGATATTGAGAAGGAAGTTGGCCGCTTCTTCTCGTGTGAAATGGCCAAAATCAACTTTATTCACCTAAACAAATGAATAAAAGTCACTCTTGTCAAGTGAGCAGGCATGTTTCTAAATCCAACTGGTGTAGTCTGACACCTGCCCAAAGCTGTAACATCTTCAATTCAAGTACCAATAATCTATTAGTCTGACCAGCTGGTACCACACAATTTTACAGCTAAAGAACTAAACAGAGAAGATCATAAAACTTGAAACAACACAGAGGTGACAGTAGCTGTAATGTTACCTATAACCAGCAGATGGTAGTGCATTACCATTTCAAATGTTAGGATGTAGACATTTCAAATATGGGTTTAAAGTAAGCAGTACAAGTAAAAATCTGTCCTATATAGTAAAGTAATGATACTTTATGCACAAAGTAAAAAAGTTGTAATTGCAGTGTATTTTGGTCTTGCTCACCTGCATGATCTGGTCCCCTTCCTTCATGCCCTGGTTGTAGGCAGGACTGTTGGGTTGGACTCCGCCCACAAATATCCCCACGTCGTTTCCTCCGACCAGCCGCAGCCCCACACTGCCCTCTTTCACAAAGGACACGGTGTGGACGTCAGAGCTGTACCTGCAGGACAGAATCACACAAGAGAGTAAGACCAGTGGTCTCAAACCTCCCTCAAAGACCTACATTTTAACACATAAATAACCTGCCCACTCCAGTTAGTGGCAACAGGTATCGTAAGTATTCAAGGTTTATGTAGATTTTTGTACCATGTACCCATGTAGATCATTTTCCTATAAAAAGTGACATTATATTTTCAATTGCAGATCACTATGACCACATTCCTAATTCCCAGTTATGGTTTAAAGGGACCGTATGTAATGTTTTAATTTCAAATGTAATTGTTTACATGTGTCCCCAAGATAATAGGTATAAGTCATATTTGGCCTTCTCTGAACCAAAGTACTTATTCCTAACAGAAAACAAAATGGATACAATGTCCACAATATTTATGTTTAAGGTTTTCAAGCAGATTATTCAATCAGAGATCTGAATGTGTACCTCATTTGGGTTGCCAGTTTCTTAGCTGAGCGTCAGAATGTTTTTAATATATTTTCTAAAATAATAACATTCAAACAAAAAAATAGTACCACACATTTATTTAAATGAAAGCAGGTACAAAAATAAGTAGTCATATATAATACACAAAGTTTGCACTGTTTCTAGCTAAACCCCAGCCGGTGGTTTGTATCTGTAATAGGTGGCTAGGAGCGACATGTGACACAGGCAGGACGATTATGGCAACAGAGGCTGGATTGCAATTGTAATGATTTAATTAATTCAGTAGTTCATACTACATATAGTCCCTTTAAACATGCCAAAGTTGTAAACACAAGTAATATTTAAATTATGCAAGTTAGTGTGTGTGTGTAAACAAATGTTCAATCTTGTATATACATTTCCCTACATGGACACTAAAGTATATCTTATACCTTACCTAAATATATGTGTTTAATAATGTATGTAATATTGTCTTGTGACAATCTCAGGAACAGGAGTGAGCTACACACTCTGTATGCAATTCATCAGTTGCATCTTTTTCTGTAACTTAGTATTAATGTATTGTTCTGGTCAATTAAACACATACATGAATACAGTTCTGATCAATCAAAAACTCATGGATGTAATTGTATTGTATTTCTATATCCTTTGATGAGCCCCGTTTAGACTGACCCAGGTGTCGTGGCTGGATACGAATCTGGCGGTAGCAGGTAGATCGGCTCCTCTGCAGCTTTGGCTGTGGATGGAAAAATACTTAATGTTTTTTTTGCCAAATAAACAGGTTTTTTTGGTGTAAAAAGTGACTCACTGTAGAGTGATGGGTTGCTTTTGACAGAAATACCGGACTTGCCCGTTCCTATTCTCTTTGCACCACGAGGAGCACTGCAAAATGTTATGATGAATGAGCAACAATAGTTTAGCCATATGAGATATTTTAATAATAGATGAATGATTGAGAATAGTGTAATGTATGTTTGATCGATTGTCTTCTTTTATCTGCCTTGGAACAAACTATGTATGAACAATATATTTCCTGGTATTACAAACTACAACGCGACTCAAGAAAAGTACAGAAACAAATATACAAATGTTTATATTTAGTATTTACCTGTGGTGGGTGTCCTCTCTCTCAGAACTGCCTGAACGGCGGAGATGGAAAAGCTGGTCTGACTCTGATGAATCTTGAATCAGAAATAGTTTTAATTCATTTGCAACCACACACGCTGCAGTGGAATAAAGACGTGATTATTAAACTGACCATCGGGGGGCGGTCTGGTGGGCGCCTCCGGTTTCACTGCGACTACACTGGACTCGGGCAGGACTCTGGAAGAACAACTCTTTGTTATAATCTCATTGGACAGGTGTAATGCGGAGCCTATAGGATCAAATTACTGCTGTATTTCCAGTCACATGCATCACTTGGTACCAGTATGTGTTTGTGTTAGCAAAGTTACATCCTTGTCAGTGTCGATTTACACTGGTGCAGGTTGGAGCCCTGAGGGGAGACTTCTTCAAAATGTTCAAAGTGATTTCATGTAATGCAGTAATCTCATCTAGGTTGGATTTCAAAATTCAAAAGCTCAACTTTTGCACTTGCCATTCACTGGTGAATGTACAGTATGAATAGCTTTTATGAATGTATACACTTTAATATTTAATAAGTTAATTCTGATAGTGAATGGTGTTAATGTGGGTTAAGTGAACTGGTGAATGAACAGAGTTGATGAAAGTAAATGTTGCGTGATCATACGTCTGTATCATGTGATATCTGCGGTCACAGCGTGTTTGAATCAACTCTAAATCATCCTTAACACACAATGACGACAGTGCTGTGTGGAGCAGCAAAAGCAGCAGGAGAAAAGTTACACAGTGCATCTTTAAGCTGTAATGACGACAATCCGCTTGAATAAAAGGCTTTTCACCTGTATCGATTGTTGCCCCGATTGGAGAGCTCACTGTTGGTCGACTCTCGCCGCGGCACTGATGCGTAACTGGCCTCTGATTCAGTCTCCGAGGCAGCTATAAAACACAAAATACATGTCTTTCTCAAACATATAGATCCAAAAATGTTGTGTTAACTGAAATAAAACAGCCTTGAATTATAATCTTTGTTGTTTATCGTCTCATACCATCAGTAGTAGGGTATTGTTTAGAATTGTTGGCTGTGATTTGTTTAATAGCACTGTATGGTATTGTTTTGTATTCTTATTAGTGTTGAATGATGTAGAGGGGATTAGAATCTCTTTTCAAACCTCATACATATATTTATGGTGTTGTAATGTATGCAGGCTTGAAATATATATCCATCTAATTATCTTGACAGGCCTAATTGTACCTTTGGGTGGGGGGTTGCTGGCCGGGGCACTGGTGCTGCTCCAAAGGGGAGGGTCCATGGAGACGTCTGGGAGAACCCTGGAAGAGAAGAGCGGGAGGTGGGAGTGAGGGAGGGAAGACACAGATCTGAGTCAGGTTTGAGAGGGGCACCTGTGGCTGAAAATAATGATCAATGATGAATATTCACCTCAGTACATCCAGGGATGCTCTCTGCTACGCTGTTACTGCTTTGTGACTGATCAAATGCCATTAGGATTAGCTTTCTTCCATACTATGAGAGGTTATGGATTTTATATGCAGACATGCTGTATCACACATGCAGATTTTTTTCAATTACAAATACTGTTGCGGTTTACAAAGGAAGTTTGATCAGCACAAATACATGACAGGGTTTATTTGGAAGTAATTTTATTTAGTGCTTAACAAAGACAAACATAATCAACAAACACTAGGTACAAGCAAAAACAAGATAGATGCAAATGAAACAGACAAATGATATAAAATAATCACAAAAATGCACATAGAAGAACATAAAACTGTGTCTAAAGTGGTCCGGTCCTGAGGATGAGGAGGGTTTTTGGGAGGGGGAGGGCCGGTCATGTGTACCTGTATCTGCTGTACGAGTCATGGCTGTAGGCGGTGCTCTGCCTTTGTGGACGTCCAGTACTTTCTTCAGACTCCGACTCAGAGTCTGTCAAAAAACATATAACTTTTAGAACATGCTTATGTGACACTTATCGTTAACTGATGGATAAAACTATATTTGTCTTCATAATAATTGTTTATACATTGTCTTAGCAAAAGTAGACCCATTTGTGATATTTTCTTTGTAATTGATTAAAAGCTTTTTTAACCACCTGAACTTGTGACTGCTGAAGTACAATTACAAAGATATAAAACAGTTCGTTATAGGCCTGAGCGCTGCTGCAGCTGTCAAAAGCCATGCATATACTGTAAACTAGAGATGCAGAGGACACCGCTCTGAGGGACAGGAGCAGGACTGAGGGTTAAGTGAAGACAGCGGTAAGTCCTCTGAACTAATCACCGTGGTCCACACAAAAACTTTTCCTCTGACCCTAAATAAAGATATACTAGTAATACCAGCAGTTATAATGATGTTGTACATGGTGTGCAAAAGAAGCATGGTGTAAAAAAATTCAATATTGCACCCATAAACATCTGCAAAAACAGCAACGCCGCAAAGGGTGAAAAGTTATTTCTGTTATTGTTAAATATCAAGACAGCTTATTTGCAATCGTCACTGCTGGACAAAGTTTGACATAAACCTTTACCTGCAATTTTAAACAGAGACACATAAAACACCAATTGGTCCAACATAAAGAACCTGTTTAGCAGCTCACAAAATGTAAATAGAGTGATCCAGGATATATTTGTCTGTTTCTTTAGAGCCCTTACCTGGGGGAGGGGATTTGACAGGGGAGCTGACCCTCCGGTAGGGCTCACTGCGGACAGTGATGGGTGAACCTCTCATCCCTGCGTAGGCCAGATCTGGAAGCGGTCTGGAAGACAAGAACACAAAACATTTGAAAAAAAGATAAAGTAGTTAAAGCTGAGGGAACTAACTTGTTTCATAAGTGTGTTACTATTTGCGTAGGGCTGACAGCTGATTAGCTGAGCAATTTTTCTGTTTGAAATAGCTGATGTGACAGAGGCCACAAATTAAATGTCTGTGAAATAGTGATGGAAGCAAATTGTTTTTAGAGCGAGGACTAGTGAGATGGATTGTGTTATATCATTACATTTGGTTGTGGTTTGAAAGTTAAGTACCTTGGCTTTAAGGGAATATTTTATGGCATCACCACACCGCAAGCACTAGTGCAGGTGTGTGCCAGCAAACAAATAACGAGATGTTTTTTGTTTGTACTACTACCTTTAATTAGTTTACTATGACTATGTGCGTATAGTGTGAATATTTAGAATGCAAGGAATGCTGCAAATATACAACATTGTTTTTGAAGATACAATTACAGTGCCTTTTTATCATAGAGAAATTCCTATTGCGTTTCTGTGCAACTTTGGTGATATTTACTTGTATCTATCCAGCGTGGAGCTCTCTCGAGTGGGAGGCGGAGAAGGGCTGCGGTCAGAGTCTGAGTCCGAGACAGGTTTGCGAGGGTGAGATGAGGTAGAAGAGGGTCTGTCCACACTCCAGGAGGGGGCCAGAGGAGAGGACTTTGGGTTGGGCAACGTTGACACACCAGATAAGCTCCTGGGAACCACAAAGAGAATCAAATTGAAATATTATGGTTAAATTGCGTATACTAAAAAGGCTTTTGGCCAGTAATAAAACAATTGGTCAATGCTGGTGAACCAAAAACAGAAGAATATTTCATTAAAGCTGGAGCTATTATTTTCTATGAGTACATTTTGTTTGTCCCAGAAAGAGTCTTGTTTAAGAAACATTTTGTGAACGAAACAGACCACGACATGCTAACATTAAATCTGTACATACTAAAGGCAGGTAGGTGAGGCTGGTCTTCTAGTGTTCACTGAAATATCTGATCTAAGCATGTGACAGACTCTAAAAATACAGGATTGTGAAAATACTAGAACCCAGCAGTTTTGAGAACTAGGATTATGTAGATTTGATCACATATTTTTTTTGTGGTTTTAAAAGTTAGTTTTGATTTTCATGAACCAGCAGATATGAGTAAGAATTGGTTAGCTGATGGTGCAACAAAGAACTCTTTTTTGGCATCGAGTTCAGTGCTGTTTTTTTGTCTTGTAGTTTAGGGAAAATCATTGAGACTTACTTGTATTTACTTGAGTTATCCCTCACATCTGGAGTGTGCCTTCTTGGAGGGGGAGATGCACTACGGTCCGACTCGGATTCAGACGGAGCTGGGGAAAACGTGAATTTATAGCATTCATATTGTAACCAAACATGTAATAGTTTAGCTTAGGGCGGCAGCCACGACTAAACATGACCACTGAAAATGTTTTCAAATAATCATACTTGAGAACTGTTCATAACCGACTCTGACGCCCATGTCAAATGTACAGAAAAATCAATATGAAAAAATCCTGTTTATTTATTCGATATAATTTGATGAAATACGATCATTTGTATGTTTACTTTTCCTTTTTTGAGTGTTAGTTTCTTTATTTAAAATGGAACAAGGTATTTTTTAAGACATCTTATTCCACTAGCAGCTCATTTTACTTGTAGAGTCACATATGCTCAACTCAAGTGAAAGTTCTTTACTCACTGTGACATTGCTTTTTGAGTTTATAACAAAGGCAGTTGTATCATGAGTATACTTAAGTTGTACATTTTCTCTATAACTCAGCCTTTAGGATCAGGTTAAAAATGCTTACGTATGGTAGTTACAATAGGTTTGACCTGTAGACTACGAGAATTATGCTTAGGCCTATGTGAGAGCAGTCTTACGTCTGCGAGGAGCGTAGGTTTTCAATGGAGGCCGTGGGAGCGTCGAGCGTACCGGCGAAGAGTCCCGAGACCGGGCCACAGCCACTGGTTGTTCAGCGCGAATCCTGCCACAAAAGAGAAATAAAAACAAACAATTAGACATTACCAGATTAGAAATAATGAGACAGTAAACTTAATTTCAAAATAATTATCACAATTGATTGAAAGAATGTGCGTATTTAGAAAATGAAAGTGCTGTGATACTGGTTTGTCTGGTTATTTGAGGCGGTTACCTGCGTGTGCGCTTCTCTCTCGTAGGCTGACGTGGTCTGTGTGTGGGCACATCATCATCCAGGTCTGAAATATCTGACCACAGAAAAAGCAAAAAGCATTACAACAATTAATAGAAAACAACTGACCTACACTTTAAAAGGTACACTTAATCTCATATTTTAGTTTTTTTGCTAAGAATATTCAAGTAGTTATTCTATACTGTTGTCTTTTTGTATAACTACTTCTCAAAACCCACCTGTTTCCGCTTGCCTTTCCTTAATTTTGTTCTTAAATGTTTATTTTTATGTGTTTTGTAGAAGCACAATATAAGTTTGATGTATTATTATACGTATTATCGTTATTATTTATACTGTGTTTTCAATGCCTCCTATTCTAACTGCTCTTGTTCTTGCATACATATTGGCTAGACATTTCCAAATCTTACCCTCCAGTTCAGAGCTGCTGTCCCGCCTGCGCTCGTCCTCGCTGTTGGGGGCGCTGTCCACCACCTCCGGGATACTGACCAGGAACCTGCGGTCGTCTCTTAGCACAGTCATGGTCAGTTTTCCTCTGCTCTTCTCCACCAGGTGCTTTGTCTCCAGTAACGACAGGTTCTCTGTGACCATACCATTAATCTGAAAATAGCAAGTTATATTGTTTTAATGTACAGTTAATTGCTATAATTATACCCTGATATTATATTATAAACACAAGTTACTTACTAAGATGTTTACAGCCTATATATCCAGCCTCAATCCATCCATCCATAAACAAGATGGATGGCTGGATAAGTCCAACTATGCAAAACCAAAAGACTTCTGGAAAAAACAATTCTGTTCTAAATAGCATTGGTGACTTATACTGCCGTAACAAATCTTTTGAATAGATTTAATTCTGTTAAATATCTTCATTAAAGTTTTACTTATTCCTATACTAAAATATAGTATAGGCCATTGTCCTAAATAAATATTGGGACATATTTCTAAATTATTTATATTCTAATCGTATTGCGTATGAGTTAGTCGGGCCTTTAAAGGCTCTAGTCTAACGACATTTTTCCATAAAAATAAATAAAAAAAATCACAAATTTCCAAATTCCATTACTTCAATTAACAAAGCAGTAGACGACAATGTTCTTCTAGTTGCTAGTTTCATTAGGCCTAAATTGTGGCAATAGAGAATGAAGATAAGATAGAGGAACCTTTATTGTCTCACGGTGGGGACATTTCAAAGTTGCAGCGCACATGCAGGACAGAGCACACAGGTAGAGCACATAAAATATACAAAATACATGGCTGCTATGTTTCTTAGCTAGCTGTAAATGCTTCAATAACAATCTTTCTAGTAGTAGTAATAGTAGTAATCTTTATTTATATACCGCCTTTTCACTGCAGATCTGAGTCTCAAAGCGGTTTACAATTGTTAATTATGGGCATTTGTCTCTCACTCCACACAGAGATGGGAGCGGGGTCGCCAGTACAGGAGGCGCATGCCAGACATGTCTATTGGACATATTTTTAGTGGTAGGGGAAACCGGACTACTCGGAGGAAACCTACGCAGACACGGGGAGAACATGCAAACTCCACTGAGAAAGGCCCTGGTCCGACCGGGATTCGAACCGAGGACCTTCTTGCTGAGAGGCGAGAGTGCTATCCACTCAGCCACCGTGCCGCCCTATATTTCTAAATATCTACATATATAGTGCAAAGTTATATACATACAGTGATGGGAATAACGGCGTTACTTTTTTCAGTAACGAGTAATCTAACTAATTACTTTGACTGTAACTATAACGGCGTTATCATTTCCTACATCCCGTTACTGCGCGTTACTCAAGACGCACAATGAACTTCTCTTTTTACTTCGTGATAGGACTCGTGCGCGTGTTGTCATGAGAGAAGAGAGGAAGAGAAAACCTCTCAGCAATAATTGGCTGATGTAAAACATATTTCCTTTACAATCTACATGTCTACAGTTGAGAAGATGGTCATAAATTGTGTTTTTGAAACAAATGGGTCTTAATCGCGCTCAACCACAGCTTGTATCACCGTGAGGCCTCAGAGGAGCACATGTGAGCGCAGAAGTCGGCTGCATACAATTCCAGCGATAAGCTCCTTTCTCTTCCTGGTTTATCTGCTAAGGGCAGCAACAGGTTTGGCTAACCTACATATAACACATTTTTAGATAATCTAAAATGCACTTAGGGTAATTTTTCAATGACTATAGGAATGATAAGAAAGAGAGGTGAAGTGTAAGACGGTTGATTTTAGAAATCGGATGCACCCGGCTGCAGCAAAACAGAGGAGTTTATGGAGGACACATGCGTTTTGTTTTACTTTTTAAAACTCATTGGACTTATTTACAAATGGAGGATTACATATCTACGCTCAAACTATTATCTGGACTTAAACACAAAACTGGTCTGAACCGAAGTGGCCTGTGCAGGTCATTTATACGGTAAGACTCATAGTTTTGCGTTTTGTATGAACAAACAATGCGGGCATGAAACATATTCTGCTGTAGCCAAACAAATTGTCCACTTGATTTATTTGATATATATGTTCATCTGATTGGGCTGAAGTCAGTGCTTCACCGGTGTTTCCACATTCACAGTGGCGGGTGTTGGTGTTTAGTGCTTACTGCACAGAGAGAGATGAAGAGTGAACAGGACTTCAGCAGCAAAACAGCCTTTTCTAGATGGAAATATTGGCGCTATTTCAGACTCACTGAGGTTAAAGGTAAAAATGCGCACCTCGAGTGCACATTATGTTCCAGAACAACAAGAAAAAGTAACGCAATAGTTACTTTTACTGGTAACTAGTTACTTTTATAGTGGCGTAACTCCGTTAGTAACTTTTTGGGAGAAGTAACTAGTAACTATAACTAATTACTTTTTCAAAGTAACGTGCCCAACACTGTATACATATAGGGCAGGGTAAAAAGTAGATGGAGTGACACTCAGTAGAGATTCTGAAATGCTTTGCAGTATTTACTTATTTACAGGTGAATGACACGTACAGAAACTGAAACTAAAACTGAACGCTTACTTTGAGGATGAGGTCTCCTTCCTGCAGAGTGCCCTCTTTTGCAGCCAGTCCAGTGTCCGTCATGTGCTTGATGAAAATCTGACTTCCCAACTTCAGTCCGTACTCTAAACACACATTAGATCAAATGGGATTTTAAAATCATCATAGAACCTGGAATTTACACAATTTTGTATTGTGTGACAAAAAGCCCACCCAAAACACACATAACGACTCTCACAAACTCTAAATCTGGGAGCCATTTCAAATTCTCACTTGGAATGAGAAAAAGTAACCAGGGCTCGTCTCTACACAATACAGCCGTGAGCTTGATCACCATGACACAGCCAAAGTAAGTTGTAACAAACTGTGATATGTTTACTCTCTCACCATCAGAGATCCTCTTCTTGATCAGCGTGGTTCTGATGGGTTTGTCTGTGACTCCGTGGGGCAGTTGCTTGTAGGCGGTGGACATCAGGGGGAGGGTGCTATGGCCGTTGCGGTTGGGAGAGGAGCTGCGTGCTCTGGAGCGGTACCGGTCGTGGTCACGGTTGTCGCTGCCGTCAGAGTACCGCCGTGGTCTCCGAGGCGAGTCGTTCTCCAGCAGGTTGGAGTGGGACACAGCTCTGCTCGGTTTGGAGGTGGTGGCGGGGATCTGGATCTTTCTGGGACGTTTTATTGTCTGAGGAAGGAGGTAAGAAGTTAAAGCAGTATTCCCCGATCTTTTTGAGCTGTGACACGCCTTCATTAAAAACAATCATATGGCACATCACCAGCTGAAACATATACAACACTGAAACACATCAGCCTTTATACAATGCAAAGTCATTATCAAAGTGCATTGCATAGAAAATCCAAAAAAAAGAAAACAAAATTAAATTACATTTCATTCTTATAATTACATTGCTTTGACCACTTGGTTTATTTCCAAAGACAGTCACATGGCAACAACAAAAACTGTTAGAAGACTCATTTCACTGAAGTGTCATAAAATAATGTTATATTTAGGAATACACAAAGAATAAATCTTTTTTGAGTTTGACGGATTTAGTAAAGTTTATAATGTCTTCTTCGTATCATAGACTATAGACAGGTGTGGCCAGCATGAGTGTGACATGCTCCAGAAGGGGACCCCATGACAAGCTCGGAAAGGCTAGCTCCGTTAAGGCAAAACCTCAACAGGGATCCATTTTTGGAATTCCGAATGTCTGTGTCACAGCCAATAAGAAGTGAGAGGGCGGACCTTCTTACTTTGACTACTTACCAGCGAGTAGCCTGCGCTGTCAATCAAAGCCAATGCAAAAAGTAGTAGCAGGGAGACGAGCGGTCAGATATTATTGTTAGTTAATTTTCAAAGACATGCTGCCATTTGGTCAGAATAATTTACGATTGTGAGTCCAAACAACCACATGTGCACCATCTACTCACAATGTTAGCTGTCCTTCCGCACGTCTTGAGGATCTGAATGGTGTAGTTGGAGTGGACGTTCTCCATGGAAACCCCATTGACCATGACCACCTGATCCTTTGTGCTGGAAAGTACAATAGATTATTTACATGCGTTATTGTAGTCTGCAGACTTCCGTCCTCTGTTTGTGAGATACGAGCACTCACAAGAGGCGTCCCATGGCCGGTCCATTCGGCAGCACGTCTGAGATCACCACCGTTGTATCGCCGCTGTCCGGGTGAGGCTTGTCTTTCCCCCCGGACAGAGCGAAGCCAAACCCCACTTTGGAATCCTGGAAGAATAACACAACATAAACTATCACAAAACATATAAATATAGCCTTTGAGGAGCAATGAGAGATAGAAATGCTGTAAAACTGGTAAATATTAATGTGATGTGACACAACTATGAACTTTATGAAGCTTTGAATATTTTTTTTATGGTTTTACAGCTAGTACTTAAAAAACATTTGTCAAAAGATTGAGCTATATAATTATGTGTGTTAATGTGTTATTAATTGCATTTTTGAAGAGCATCAAATGAAAAGCCAGTTTCACCCAAGGTAAAGTATTGATGTGCAGATGTATTGTAACCTAATTTAGATTATTTTGCTCATTTATATAGAGAAACAATTTGGTAGTTTACATTCAAAAATCTAGGTCTAAGTTTGGTGAAAGTGCTGAAAGATGCACATCCAGTTTTTTCCACTGGTCACACTGGGGATGGGCATTATCGATGTGTTTATGATCGTATTGTGAACTGATCCCTGTGACTTCATCTCTTATCACAAATGACTTATCTCGTGATTCACAAATATTCTCATACACAGAGACAGTAAGATCAAGATTTATCCCTCCCCCCACATATGTCACATTTCCGCGTAGCTGTGTGCAGGTGTGCGGGTGACAGAGAGAGCACATTCCACAGAGCAGAGTATGTGGCAGGACAGCAGAAAGGTGAAGGGTGTGTCCTAGTGCATTCTTCCTACAGACAGCAGTGAAACACACAACACCTCAACCAAACCAAAGACTATGACAATGCTCCAGGAGAAGAAGAATCAATTATGTGTTTTTATCAAGATTCACTCAAATCAGATTAAATAATTAGCAAAGAATATTTGAAACATAGAGCATTGACATTGGCATAAAATGCATAAGTAATAATCAGTCTTTTCATTTTCCTCCTCAGAAGTAAATGAATCTCTTCAAGTATAAAAAAACATAGCCACACAACAGAAAGAGCAACTTGAGATTGAAACATATTCTACATAAAACAACTAAACCTAGAACATGTAATCTGGGGCATCATCTGTGTAACCAAGAATCAATGACATATTTGAGCATTGACTTACTTTGACTAATGTAATAGTGTGTTGTTCCCATATTGTCAGCTCCTCCATGCCTGGTTTCTGTAAAAGAGAAATGTCTGATTAGTAAAGTCCAAAAATACTGTTTACTCTAAGACTATGGTGCATAAGTCTGCTTACAAGGAGAACAGTGGCTCTTAATCTATGGCTCAAAATATGCGTACTGCTAAAGCGTAGTACATGCGCTCACCTGTCCTGCCGGACCGGTGTGAGGGAGGGGCTAAGCGTGGAGAGGCGCCCGGAAACAACTGGCTGACAGTTGAGTATGTAAACAGGAGAAAGACCCAATATGGATGTGGAAGTTTGGTGTCATTTAAAAAGAAAAACCGCCTCTGTTGTTTATAAAGACCGTAAAATATTAAAAGTAGGTGACTGAAGGACTTGAGCTAGAAGTATAACATATATTCAGCATAACACAGTTTACTTTTGTTGCAGTAAAATCATTTGGCAGATGTGAATACTGTTCAATCTGTACGGTAGTCAAAGTCCCGTCATCAATTATAATAGTCTTAATCATAAAACATTGCAGAGCGTGGAGTGAATGTGACGATACTTAAACAACAGGACATCATTGATGACGTAGACACTCCTCAGAGCACAACATAATCCACTATACATTCTTAAAGTCACGTGAAAATCACCCAGTGTTTGAGCAGGTATGAGCCAGCTGTTTATTTAAACCAGAAAATATAGGTTGAGTAGTGAAAAACAGATTAGATAGAGTTGTTCAGGGGAATGTTTGTAAAAACTTAAGGCACAAGTCCTTTAATAACACCTCCAAACCATTGTTTATCAATTGGTTAAATATGTTAATTGAATTCTATCAATCAGAAAGGTAAAAGTATGGCAGAAGTTTTGAAAAAATTATTTCACAAATAAAAGATCTTTGTAGCAGTAATTTTCTGTATATTGTATCTATTCACTTTAACTAAACAAAAATCTATTTCAGGACCCAAAAAGAGGATTCAGGTTTCAAATAACTGACCGCAAGTCTTATTGATAGACTTAACCTGATATAGAATCACATTCAACACTACATTTATACCACTTGGCTTATCATAGTGAACAGAAGGCCACGTAAAGTTATTGATCAACCAGAGGAAACACAGAGAGACCTGCTTATTCACACAAAGACTGAATTGCTTCAGCTGAAGCACACGTTTCATTTATTTACCCTCAACAATCGTGACAAAACTCTTGGGTTTATTTTTTTGATATCACAATAATTATTGGCAATGTAAAAAAATATTTTCTTGGTTCAATAAATAACTGGCTGGAACAAAGGATTTTACACTCCAAGGAGGAACTCTCACTGGAATTTTCCTAGTTAAAATAAAGAGGGATGCACCGATACCAGTATCGGGTCAATACAGGGTGCTTGTTTTGATCAATAAAGATTCCACTAAAGGGGTTGGATGAAGAGAGATCAAGGCTATGCCCACACTCAGAGAGCAGCCGTCCTCCTGTGGACTCACCACCTGCAGAGGGTCAGTGAGGGGCTGGTGCTATGAGACTTGGGTGGCATCTCTGATTGCCACCCCCCTGACCCAGAAATGGAAAAAAGGGTAGAAAATGGATGGATGGATGGATGGGTTGGATGAACTCTTTCTGCTCCTGGTATTGGAGTTTCATATACTATATTCACATAATGTGCTATTATTTTTAATAAAATGTATTTTCTTAGCCCTAATTGAAAATACTAAACCCATGTTTTAATTGTAATGTCCTCTTTGAACTTTGTGCATGGCACAAGTGCAGTACACATAGTCCAGGTGAACTCACCACATGATCTTTGAACCTCACTTCCATCCTCCTCCTCTGGGATCTCCGAGCACAAACACACTAGCGCCTTAATGTTGAAATTATAATCAATGGAACATCTCCACCACAATCACGGTAATCCAAGACTAGTCCTTCCGCTCATCTGGTGCATACACAACGTCCAAACAGCAGAAACCCAATATCTTGGGTTAGGATTAGGTGAAATCTGATCTTATATGGTTCTAACAGCCCAACAGGACGGAAAAAACTATGTCTGGGGGGAATATTTCACCTGCTGAACTCCGCCCACTTCAGCCTTTGCCCACTGTGCTCCAGGGCCTTTATAATGAACTGGTAGTTAAGGTGGACCTGCCCTGGCCTACACTTGCACATGTAAACACAAGGACACAAATACTGGGTTCCTTAAACACAGGCAGTAATTACTCCCAAGTATGCAAGCTGATAAAGAAGGCACTGAAGCGTCATGGGAATTTCAGGAGAGTGACTTGGAAATGTTTTGTTTGTTTTAGGAAGTCAATTATTAGTGGCGTTTTTTCTGATGTGCCCGTGTTTTGAGTTAGACAACGATAAACAAAATAACACCCTGAATATGACCTAAAGCTGGCATATCTAGCGTTTTTCAAAATAATAATGATAATATATAATATTGTTTGTCCCAACAGAAATAACCATGTGACAAGCAAAACATTGATCAAATAAGACCACAGCATGCAGTCTTTATCTTACAAAAAACATGTTAAAATCTTTGCATATTGTACATATACAAAAGAGCCCTGTGAGTCACTATTTAATTATTTGGGCTGAGAGCTGATTGGCTGAGTGAGGGTGGTTCCCTCCTTTTTACTTTTCTGAATGAAAAATGCAAAAAATACATGGATGTAAAAATGTGTAATAGAAACAAACTGTTTTGAGAACAATGACAAAAGCTTCATGACACTAGCTCCATTTGTTGTGGTTTTAAGGTCAGGTACAAAACAGAATAATAGTACAAAAATAAGGTTTATGATAAATGCACTTGTCTTTTGTCTTGTTACTAATTTAACAGAATATATTTGGGGAAACACTGAGGAATGGTGTTAATCTCTAAATTAATCGTTGACTATTGGTTGGTAATGATCCATCAGTTTGCATAAAAAGGAACCATGAGAAAAGTACCACATACACAATAAACTTTACTGCAGAATATAAAATTAAATATATATCATAATATACTATACTTTTCAGAAACGTTCAATGTGCATTTTCATGGTGCTTATTCAAGGTTCTCATCAGTTTGCATAAAGTCGATGCAAACTGAACTTTTTTATTTTTTTAAATCATTTTTCAAATTGATTTGGAGCAGATTTAAAGTGACAAGAAAAATGTACCAAAAATATGGAACCAAAGGTATACAAGAAATAAATGAAACGTATTTTCTATTTTTTGAACTCGCCTTGACATTGTGTTTTATACATAGCAAGAAGGAAATCGAAACACAATAGAACTTTCACTTTGCTTCTTGCCCAAATGTTCATGCAAAACAACAGAGCAGCAAGACAAGCACGCAAACAGCTTTTATACTCAACTTTAACCATTAACTTTAAAATACAGGTACAATACAAACTATATGCATGTTTATTTCTTGTTCAATTTGATGTAAACTTAAAAAAAAAAAAAACAGTAAACTTAAAATTACAATCATTAGTGTGTGAAGATAAAAAAAAAAAAACTACAACAAAATTAAAATACAATCTACTTTGAGTGAATGGTCCACTTACAGGAGGCACCACCAGCAGAGGGGGTCGAGGGTCTGGTGGGACCGAGCCAAAGTGCTTCATTAGTTTAATCCTTGAAGCCAGATTCATAATGACTCTTTTCTGCTTAATAAATATATAAAGATATGTCCTCCCAAGCGCTACTCAAAAAAAATCCATAGGTAAAATAGGTGCATATTATGTTGGTAGATCAAAAATAACAACACATCTCGTCAACAGCAGCGGTCTCTTTGACATAAAACTGTAGATTTCAAAATAAGTTTACTTCCAGAAAACATAGATATCCACACAAATAATCCAGTTCCGCACTAAACAGCTACAAATGCTCCGGTGTTATCCTGTGTCTTTGGAGGTATGCGTGTGTGGCTTCAGCAGACTGCATGGCTAAGTTTCAGAGCTCAGTGCTATGGAGACGAGTTGGGAATGAGAGCTGGGGCCGGTTAATAATTGACGCCCTGTTTGCTGCACTGGAGGCCTGTGCCGTAAAGAGTAGAGCCGCCTGGGTTCCTTCACTTCACTGACATACAGTTTTTACCACCAGGAAATGGCAGCAGCGGGAACAAAGGAGGACTTCATCGCTCGGGTGGGTTTCGGAGTGGATGCTTGAGTGTGGACTGTGCATTCATGACACACCTTGTTTATCCGTGCCCCGCCTAAACAAATAACTAAGAGCACAGGGTACACTGATGACCGTGACCACAAAAACAAGACACAGGCATTCTAATAAAAATGCATGAAAGTTGAGTTTCTAGGCAGGTGTTTGTCATATTTACCCAGTTTCATTAACTTATCTCTCATCATTATCTTTTAGGTTAACTTCTTGGGGGAAAAAATAAATAATAAATCAATATAACTACTACTTTGGTAAAATGTAGTTACTCTTGCACTGTAAGGAACAATTTGGCAATATGAAACTGCTAGAAATCTACTTCCTTTTTGACTACTCTTCCAACAGGTTATTTGGGGTTTATGCTACTTGAAAAAGGTATATAGGAGGATTTCCCCTAATTTTAGGAAAATACCTACTTTTTGAAAAAAACTCTCTGGTCTTACTTGACGAGCATGTATCAACAGAATGATTGACAATAGGGGGGACAAATAGTCTTGACGATCCAACCGGGAGTATAAAAACCTCCTATATACCTTTAAGTTGAAATAAACTGATTTTAGGATAACGCCATAAATACAATTACACAGTTTGAATAAATCATCTACTAGAACAGCAGTATATATATGCACACATGTAAATGTGCCCACAGCAGATGTTGGGTGAATGGCTTGAACAGCTGCTGCTGGTGACCGGCCGTGGCTGCATTATTCATGAGTGAGAGGAGAGCAGAGCTACGACCTGCTTCTGTTACTAAACACACACTTACCCAAGCATCAACACTCTACTGCCCACTATGACAGACATCACTCTGAAACAATGACAGGCTGCCAATCTGCACCAGTGACACCCACAGATCCTGCAACCGATCACTCAAAAAATATGAAAGAAAAATCCACAACAGATTTACAATAGGTTTGGTAGTTTTGATAATGTAAAAGACATGTCAATTCCTTGCCTCATCAGACTGTGTGAAAACCACAGTAAATAGAATAATTGCACTGTAAAATAAGTCTGAAACAAAACTATGCACAAACTCGAGGCATCATTTGATTGTGTCAAATAGATTGCAAGACACTTGTTTCCTGAGCGCAAATGGTTGGGTGCATTGCTGAGATTCTTTTACGTGGCTATGTGTAAATGCCACTCCAATAAATATTAACAAGAGCGACCAGAAAGACCTTCGACTACAGCGGCCAAAATGACAAGACAAGAGCTTTCTGTGCATTTAGAATTTTAGCCAACGACTAAAAGATAATGATAGAGGAGTAATCACAGTGGGCATGGATCAGTGCAGCTTCAACCTGAGTTAGTCATGTATGTCAACAATTTACAGCATTTCAGCGACTTATAATGAAAAGGATGGAAGCAAAGGAATCCAGGACAAAGTTCACAAACATGGGCTTAATTACTTCATGCTATGATTCATCAATTTGGTGAAAGGATTGAGGACAATGGGAAACAAATAATTGAGGGCAAAAACTATTTCGATACATATCAAACACCATATCTAGAACTCAGTAAAGTGATTAGCGGCAAATATCATAGCAAAACAGTAATACATGAGCGCACATTTAACTAAACTATGTAAAATGTAATGAAATATTAGATTTAGAGTTATTTGTTCATACAGATCTAGCAGTTTACTGTTATTTATCATGAATTCCAAATTAAATTAGTACAATTTTAAGAAGATAATGTACACAAACATGAGGCAATAACCAGTATAACAGTATATCTTTTTTACATAATGGTTCAGTTAAGCAGTAGAACTCGAGTATGCAATGAACACCAACATCAGTAAACTACCTGGAAGGCAACAGAGTATGTAAAGAACACTGTCGCGTGGCTAAAACACAATGCAACACTATAACATAGCTACAAGCATATTGATTTCAAACAATCAGGTTTCTGGCCTTTTGCATATACTTTGTTATAACTATGAAACAAATACAAGTAATTGAAAAGGTAATTGAACAATGTGCTACAGGTGAAGGGGTCAAAACATATGCCATTTCCATAAACACAAATATACTGTAGTTGTCCTGGGAATGCACAGCCCGAAACTGTTGTGAAACTCTCCATTGGGCATGCTGAAACTTGTGAGTGTGGCAGAACCAGAATGACAAGAGGAGAAAGAAAGTGGCTTATAGCAGATGACAACCACACAGACAACACAAACACAATCCACTGGAAATTATAGAATACTGCTGCACACTGTTGAGAAAACTTTTATTTCCAAACATGAGTCTATGTGACAGAGTAATAAAGTTTGGCAATGTGGAGGGACATTGTAAATCAAGGCTTTATACAGGTCTAGATAATGTCTTCTACAAAAACACCAAAGCAGCAACACAAAATCTTTTGTCTTTTTCATGGAACAATAAATGTGTGAACACCTTTACAGAGACGACACTGCACAGCACAAACAAAAGAGGAACAAGTGGAAATCCCATCATCTGTTAGATCCATCATAACGAAACATCAGGCAGGACTACATTTGAGCAATTAGAGCAGTTTTGAAAGTGATTTAATAAAATTATAACATCCCACTTTATTTATAATCATTAATGCGACTACTTTCACACAAAGGGTCCAGGATGTACGCATATATGAGCAGTATAAACTAGCCTTCTCCTAATATCGCGAGTCTGTGTCCAAAGAGAAGAGGTCTTTGTAGCTAACACGGTGTGTGTGGAGCCTTAGCTTCATGTAGAGCTAGCAATGAAGTCTTACCTGTAAATCCTTTGCTTTAGTGGTCCTTTTTGCGTAGGTTGTGGGAACTTACAGAAACAATTCTATCACGTATCTGTAACTTGCTCGCTTCAAAGTGTGTCGACTTTAAGAAGTTTTCACGCAGTTAAATCTTTCGCACGACAGGTGGAGGGACGCACAGGTAAGTTTCATGACGCCATCACGCTGCAACGTAAACAGGAACCAGATTGTCACAACTGACCCCGGCTGACTGTGTGGTTCTTTTAAAAATAATCTCCATAAATAAATTGATCAAGGAAAAGCCTTTACAGGGTAAATACAATTATGTGTTTTATTGTTGCGTTTAGGTAAATCTTCTACCAATCAATCTTTAATTGTATTGTAGTGATTTTCTTCCATAAAGTGCTGCACAGTTTATAAAAGCCCAAGCTGTAGATGTAATAGATGAAAAAACAAAAAGATATAAACAGTCTTTATGAGTTGGTTTCAAAAGCAACAAGTGACAACTCTTTAAGTTTGACGCATATACTGTAAACTAAAATGATTTTACTAGCGAGGAAACCATACCCCCAAGTGGTAGAGCCAGGTATCACTTCTCTAAATGATCAAATGTTTCAGGATATAGCCAACAATACATAATCAATCTGTATCATTATATATGTAGAAAAACCGTAGTACCGTCACCACTACTGTGTTGTCAAAACGTAGTTAGCTTGAAAAAAATAGTCTCAGTTCATACAGCTGTAATAATGTTCTTTCTTTCCAAAATATGTGTCATTAAAAGTGACCTTGTGCATCCTAGATTCATAATCTTTACAGTCTGGTCAGTCTTTATTGTGGTGAACAGATACAGGTTAACTGTGCCTTTCTTTGTGAAGTTTTCAGGTTTCTCCCAGTGTTTCCCCCTACACTCGAAGAACAAGAATATCCTCCTGCTGAGCATAACATCAGGAGATGGTAGTGCCCCAAAAGTTCCTACTCCAGGGACAATAACTGTAGTGTAACCCGGGGCTCCAGAGTGCACCCATTTGTCTGATGCACCAACCTGAAATACAGTACAGACCAAAAGTTTGGACACACCTTCCCATTCAAAGAGTTTTTATTTTCATGATTATGAAAATTGTAGATTCACATTGAAGGCATCAAAACTGTGAATGAACTCATGTGGAATTATGTACATACTAAAAAAAAAAAGTATGAAACAACTGAAAATATGTCTTATATTCTAGGTTCTTCAAAGTAGCACCTTTTGCTCTGATTACTGCTTCACACTCTTGTTGGCCTTTTCGCCTTCACTCTGTGGTCCAGCCCCAAAACCATCTGGATTGGGTTCAGGTCCGGTGACTGGAGGCTGGGTCATCTAGCCCAGCACCCACCACTCTCCTTATTGGTCAAATAGCCCTTACACAGCCTGGGTGTGAATCTACAGTCAATAGTCATGAAAAGAAAGGGTACTCATTGAATAAGTGTGTCCAAACTTTTGGTCTGTACTGTATAAAAGGAATATGATTTTTTTTTTAACTACGAAAGAAAGTGGTTCACTTTTTCATTCAGGTGCACCACAACATCCAAAAAATTTAGCCTGGAGCCTTGACCTGATGTTAACAGACCTTTTTTTTTTTTTTTTAGAGCGCTGCAGCAGCAAATAAACTTTTCAGCCATTTCACCCATTTTCGGCAATCTTCAAGTTTAATTTGTTTACAAAGTTAAGATTGCGTTTTCATATAGTCCTTCCTTTAATGAGTAGAAAACCTTTTAAAGAATTAGTCGAAAGGCACAAATTTTACAATATATACATTTGGATCTAAATTATAAATATATAGAAAACAAAAGCACAACCCAGAATAAAAGTGCTGAACACATTTTCTTTTTCTTGTTTTTACAGAAAAAATAGGCTTTGTTGAAAAATACATACAATCAGTAGCATGTTTTTGTTTTGTTTTTTTCTGTTAGCAATAAATTATTTGAAAGTGATAACATTTATATAATATGCAAATGGTGGTGAAACAAGATGGTTACAGTACACAAAGCCTTGCAAAGAACACAAGCCGGCAATACTCAATCATAACAACAGTAACTTGATTATGCCATTCTTAGTGCAAAATAATAAAATATGGTAAAGGCCTAACTACACAAACACGTACAAAAGATCAATATTTCTGTAATACATATTTTGGAGCTTTTATAGTCATTCAACTACAGCCTTTTACACCACGATCTTGGAATGTGCCCGATGAACAAGTTAAAATTTGCATGTGAAATTAAATGTGCTAAAATTATTAAAGTTATGATTTTGTGTCTATTTACTCAAGAAACATGAAAAAGGCCCATTGCACATTTTACACAAGCCAGGGCTGAAATGGCTTAAAACGAATGTCAGCTTTAGCATACGTATCATATAAAATACAAATACAGATAAAAACGTATCCACAGATGTAAAATGTTCCTCACAAAGAAACAGCCTTTGCTCTTTGCCCTAAGAAGGCATAAACAATCCACATTTTCACAAAGACAAACCAATCACATTAAATACAGCAAGTCACAGCACAGATTAAGAACGTATTATTGGTAATTTGTTTCATACGGGACCTTAACCCTTTCTGCACCACTGTTACACCTGGTTTCTTCCTGAGATCAATAATGGTCTAAAAGTCAGGGGAACTGTCAAATACTTTGGTATTTTCTGCGAACGGAGCGAGGCCTTGCAAAAAGGTCGAAGAAAATTATGACCAAGTGAGCAGAAATAAACCCAGACACTGAACAGCAGTAAGAACAGTGCAAAAGTATTTGGTGGCAGGTTTTAATAGAATTTGATATAATTCTCTTGAAAACTAAAGACTTCCCTGACCAATACATTTGGAGTATATAATAAGCAGGATAGCATATCTAAACTCTAAATATCCCTTAAATAATAATAACTTTTTTCCAGAATGCATTGCGTGAAAAACTATACAAATGATCTAAATATTTATCTGCTGTTCCAGGAACGAAGGAGTCCCACTTTATCCACACAATGTCGACAGAACCAAGCATGTTGTGGTCAGATGGACTAATACAAAACAATTATTGCTCTTTGAGGACAAAACAACAAACACAAACGGTCGCAGAACTAACTTCTCTCACAGTGAACAAATCTATGTTTCTTTTCTATTCCGGGTGAACGTAGATTTTGAGCCGGTAGGTTGGATTAAAATATTTTGGACTTGTATTTGTATATTTGTTTTAGTTTTACATAAACTGTAATAATTGAACAGAATCCAATGACAATAGCAAAGCGTTTCCTGAGTTTTCCAAAAAACAAACCAGGACTCACATCTTTAATGGTAATGATCTAAGACACAAAAACTGTGATATCTAGTTGGACTCTCCCACTGACCACAAAGGAGCTGTTTTTATAACTTGTGCTGGGCTGTCACCTCATAAAGAACAGTGAACAGTGAGAACAAGGTCTCCGCATACTATTATACTATACAAGCTGAGAGGAGGTTCAGCTGATACCCACCACCAGCATAGTGTAACACACACATCTGAGAGGGCTAAACATCTAATACAAATATATATTAAATTAAAGTTCAAACCATTGCTCCAAGTACAAATCTATACAATAGGCTACATGGATTTAAAAGACTGCATTAATAGATTTTTCCAAAGGCACTGTTAGCAACAGCAGGCTGCTCTTCCTCCCTTTCCCTCACACTAGTGTTCATATATAGGGAGACACACGAGAACAAGCAAATCAAACATGAAAAAACTGAGGCATTTCATGGCTAAATAACATTATTTTTCCTCCTGCCTTCCAGTTCACCCCTCCCTGTCTTTAACATTAATTCATACAAAGCCTTGCAAACATAAAGTCAATATGAGGCGAGCCATAAAGAAAGTAACAGTAAAGAAGTCTGCGTTTACACTGGCAGTATCTTCACCACCAGGGGGAGCGATCCACTTCATCAGATGAAGGTTTTGTTTGATACAGCTCTTGTTTTGATTCCATTGTCACCTCATGTGTTTGAACAGCTGCCTTTCTCTGTGGAGGACACACTTTGGTGTTGTGAGGGCGGGCGCGGGGCAGTGACTTGACTAGGCCCTGAGGGGAGAGCGGTGTGGACAGCAGCATATAACATACGCACACATAAAAATCTAAATAAAATAAAAAACAAGTCCAGCCCCATATTCTAGTTCTGTGGTCGGTACTGGATGACAGATTTGCGGTCTGATCCGTCCTGAAGCATGCTGTTCAGCGCCTCACGGATGTCCAGAGTGCCTGAGCCACAGTTGCCATTCGTCAGAGCGAGAGGTTCAGTTTGCGGGAGAAGAAACTGGGATGGGTAGTGCGAGTTTGCGAACAGTAAAGAGGATGAAGTAGGGCTGTAAATAGGCTGGGAAGAAGGCGGAGATAGGAGCGTAGACGTGGACAGAAGGCTGTGTGAGACATGGTTGTTTGAGACGGATGAGCTGGATGAACAAGAGGAGGTAGAAGACGAAGGGCTGGCTTTCTGCGTGTGATTCTGAGAGGGCAATGCCAAGTCGAACAAATCTAACAAGTCCTGGTGGTTACTCAAAATGTTGTGGTTCTGGAGCAGGCCGGACTCGGTGCTCTGCTGAGCGCTTTGCGAAATCAACGACTCCAAATCGAAATCATCCTTAAAATCTGCGTGATTGCTCATGCGGCCTGCTACTCCCAGCCTGCTGTTGTCTGAGGTGTCTGGGGAGGGGGAAGGGGAGCCCACAGTCAAATCCAAGATCTCTTCCAGGGGATCTTTGGAAGACACTTTACCGGTGTTCTGGTGCAGAGGACGCGTCTTCATCTGAGGAAAATTATTACTGAAGAATTGCGGACAGAAGGAGTTGTATCTTGCTGGGCTGGAAATAGTCTTGGACAGGACCTGGCTATTGGTGGTAGTGGTGTTGTTATTGGACCAGCCATTGTGTGCCGTTCTGGGCTGGTTTTGACCTCTTTGTAAAGTCAACATGATCTTGCGAGCGGATTGCTGCTGCTGCTGCTGCTGCTGCTGCTGCTGTACGGTGTGGTGGGTGGCCTGCATTCGCTGCAGTGGCGGTAGGCTCTGAGTCTGTCCACGCTGTAGCTTCTGTTTGAGGAGCTGGTTCTGGGCCAGGGTGATGGACTGGTTGAGGAGGGGTTTGCTGCTGAACAGATTGGCCAGGAGGTGCTTGTTGTCCTGCTCCATCTTCTTCATGCGCTCCTCGGCCTGACGCTGCTCCAGAGCCTGCTGCTGCCGCTGTCTGCGCCGCCGCTTCACCTCCTCGTCCATCAGCAGCAGCTCGTCCCGCACGCGCGACACACAGTTCTCAGGGATCTTGATACCTGCCATGCACAAATGAGATTACTTTATGGCTGCCCAAATTGCAAAAATAGTCTGAACAATCTCATTCTCAATCTCAAATACAATCTAATATATGAGCTTGTTCTATACTGTTGTAATTGATGTTATATGTATTTCAAAATGGTGTTCACAATATAACATATATCCGAATATTCTGACCCCAATGTGATACATGTCCTGATGCATGCTAATTTTGTTTAACCGTTAGTTAACCAGCTTTAGTATATCAAGTCTAAATACAGACATCAGCAGACCACATATTGTAAACCACAAATATATCATAAGAGATGTATTTTTATTTTTATAAAACTTTTTATGCAGTTATATTAAGATTGAGATTGTCATTACACCAATATGCAGATGTCAGGGATTTTGTCATCCACTTTATCTTATGGGTATCTGAAGGTTGAAGCAAACGTACTGTATCTATTGCCATGTGGCAGCTGCTTAGGAGAACGTTTTGCAAGGGTATAAAATGATATAAATGCTGAATACTGGTGTTGCTTAAGCCTGACACAATCCTGGATCCTTTTTTTTGTGTTTAAATTGTCTCAACACTATGGATGGGAATTTAGTGTATTGTGATCACACACAAAGTGATTTTCTTTAGTGTAGGGCTGCAACTGACGATTATTTTAATAATCGATTAATCTATTGATTATTTCTTTGATTAATCAATTAATCGGATTTAAAAAAAAAAGTATATGTATTTTCCATCCCTTTGTTCACAAACATGGCCATGGACCTAAACAAAATAACATGCAAATGTAAGCTATGCAAATACTGGCTTTTTGAAAAGTAAAGTGCACAAAAATAGGTATTTTTTTAGCAGACGTGTGTGTGTGTGAGCGAGCGGAGGAGCAGACGTGTGTGTGTGTGTGAGCAAGCGGAGAAGCAGACGTGTGTGTGTGTGTGAGCGAGCGGAGGAGCAGACGTGTGTGTGTGTGTGAGCGAGCGGAGGAGCAGACGTGTGTGTGTGTGTGAGCGAGCGGAGGAGCAGACGTGTGTGTGTGTGTGAGCAAGCGGAGAAGCAGACGTGTGTGTGTGTGTGAGCGAGCGGAGGAGCAGACGTGTGTGTGTGTGTGAGCGAGCGGAGGAGCAGACGAGCAGACGTGTGTGTGCGCTGCTAATGCCACAGTGAATTAGAATTAATCAGAAGTCGCCATCTTTGTGCATTATATAAAAGAAGTCTGAACACAGCTGAACAAGAATGTGCCCAACTCATGTGAGCTCCGCGCAGATCCATGGCTCCGCGACGTAGTGGGTGACACATTAATCGCGCAACACAACAAATCGATGATGAAATTTGTTGCCAACACTTTAAATTATCGATTTTTATCTATTTTATTGATTCGTTGTTGCAGCCCTACTTTAGTGCTACTATGTCACAAGATGCCACTGGTGACAAATTATTAGTAATATTTATATTATATTTATCATTCATAATTTCACCAAACTAAGCAGTTACATAAACTCTCTGTAGGTAGGGGGGGCACACTGACCAACTTGTTTGTTGTGATTCTTGGTCTTGAGGCGGACAATCGGCAGGATGCTGGAGCTGGTGATTTCCGACACCACGTCAGACACTCGTTTCCAGACTCGGAGCAGAGCGCCACACAACATGTGGTACTGCCTCAGCCGCATGCCCTGGAGACACTCCAGGCCCTCGTCTGCCTTCTTACACTTACCATTCCTGTCAAAGCAGACAAGCATACAACTAAACAACAGTTGCATTAAGCATGTGATCCTTTGCACTATACTTGTAGAGCAGGCAGGTACTTTATTGTTAGTCCATCCATAATTATATGTACAAGAAAAGAATAACATTTCAACTGTCTCAGGTGATCTGTAAAACCATATTGAATGGAATTTGACCTCATTACTTTTGGTGAGGCCTACACAACATCAGTGTGATTGGATTAAGTAATCCATTAATCCGGTTGGGGAGTTTTCTTACCAGATGGCATGGCTGCACTTCTTGAACGAGAAGACAAACTGCTTTTCCCAGTGATCCTGAGCTTCCTCTGCAGTCACCTGAGAAAATGTTCAATTCAATAAAGAAGTCTAGAATAAGAAGGAATCCAACAGTTTTGAACATTGTTAACACAATATTTAGAAGAAATGCAATTCTGTTCAATAATTGTAAACATCCACTAGGAGGCAGTAGACGCCACAATCTACAAATTACTCAATGTTCTTGGTTTGGCTGTACCTTTCTGTAGCGCATCTGCAGGTTGTCCAGGTTTTCCGGGTGGGTTTGTTTGCCGATATTAGGCTTGAAAACAATAAAGTTTTTCCCTCTTCCTTGTTCAGCCAGCAGCACAGACAGAGTATTCCCTCGTGGCTAGGAGACATCACAGTTTAACGTTAACTCTCTTACCAAGCAGTGAGCACCCATGCCATACAGTAGAAGGTCAAGGTTTTTATAGCAGCACAGCTTTTTATAACCTACTTTGATTGACAGGTAGAACCCTTCATCAGCACTGCTCAACTTTAATGACCGGCTGTAGGCCTCATCCCAGGGCATTCCTCTGTCCACACTGATCTGAAAAAGGAACACATCAAACACATTACACATGTGTCCTAATCTAAGGGCACGGTCACATAGGTTTTTACAAACGAACTAGGCAGAACACCGGATCGTCGCCACAGGGGTGTGAGTAAGGAGCTCGTTGTTTAGGGAAAGACATCTCACACTTGTCCACATTGCTCTGATGCAAAGTGCAGCAGTTCAATGGGTAACGTGTGTGTGCGCGCCGCGGACACGAGTGCACACACACACACTCTTAAGTAACGAGCGTAATAGCGCTGAGAAATTAATTAATGAGAATGAAAGAATGAAAAGTGTGGCGTACAAGCAGAGCAACCGGAGACAGGCAGGTGTGTGTGTGTGTGTGTGTGTTGGTGTGTTCTGGCGACTAAATAAAGAATGATTCTTGAATGTCTGAAAAATTATTGCAATAGCACCACACTGAGAGCGAGGGTCAGAACAGAGGGAGTTATTCCCATAGGAAACGCTTCCCTTCGGTCCTGGAGCGACACACCCCCCTGCGCCCCTCAACCACGGTCCGGGGGCTTATATGAAAGGTTTAACATAAGCGGAGAATACGAAAGTGCAGGGAGAGACGTGTGTGAAAATGCGCGTCACAACGGAAGACGTAATGTGACGCACAATATCAAGTCCCCACCACACCTCATCGCACACTCCCCACCACCCGCCACTGACCCCTCTCATCTGGGCTTTACAAAGCGGCCTATTACTTGGGCATGTTTTATAAAATCAGACACTCTCTACCTCTTTAAGCGTTCCTTGTCCTGTATAAATCTTTATTCGAACCGAATCTAAATTCATCCATCCATTTTCTTCTGCTTCATCCGTTGCCGGGTCGCGGGGGCAGCAGTCTAAGCAGAGACGCCTAGACTTCCCTATCCACACACACTTCCTCCAGCTTGTCCGGGGGGACCCCAAGGCGTTCCCAGGCCAGCTGAGAGACATAGTCCCTCCAGCCTGTCCTGACTCTTCCCCGGGGCCTCCTCCCGGTGGGACGTGCCCAGAACACCTTCCCAGGGAGGCGTCCGGGAGGCATCCGGAACAGATGCTCGAGCCACCTCAACTAGTTCCTCTCGACGTGAAGGAGCAGAGGCTCTACTCCGAGCTCCTCCCGTGTGACTTTTAGCTCCTCACCCTATCTCTAAGGGAGCGCCCAGCCACTCTGCGGAGGAAGCTCATTTCGACCGCTTGTATCCGCGATCTTGTTCTTTCGGTCATTACCCAAAGCTCATGACCATAGGTGAGGGAGGGAACGAAGATTGACCGGTAAATTGAGAGCTTCGCCTTTCGGCTCAGCTCCCTCTTTACCACAACGGTCCGATACAGCGACCGCATCACTGCGCACGCTGCACCGATCCGCCTGTCAATCTCACGCTCCATCCTCCCCTCACTCGTGAACAAGACCCCGAGAGACCACTCCACCCACCCGGAGAGGGCAAGGCACCTTTTTCCGGTCGAGCACCATGGCCTCGGATTTGGAGGTGCTGATTCTCATCCCAGCCGCTTCACACTCGGCTGCGCATCTAAATGACTGTAACATAATATGGAGCAACACATACCCAAGCTATTTAGACAAAATACAAATTCTTCAAAAAAGTAATACAAGTCATAACATGTTCTGATTTCAACGCTTTTTTCAGGATGAAGCTTTTAAAACTCACTGAGAGAAACATTCTATACAATGCTTGTGTGATGTTTAATGTTGTGTATAAACTGAATGATCGCCTCTGTCAGCTCGTTCCTATCTCTACTTCTACACATACACACAACACTAGAATGAAACACTGGCTGAAGGGCAAATGCAGCAAACTCAAATGTACCAGTTTTAGTATCACCTGTAAAGGTCCAAACATTTGGAATGAGCTGGACAGTTCTATCACTCAATCTAAATCATTGAGAACATTTAAAAAAAGATTGAAACACAGTCTGCTCCAACATTATACAACACTATGAGCCCCAGGCTGAGAACTGTAAACAGGTAAAGCAATCTCAGATGTATTATTGTTTTGTTTCCTGTATCATGGATGACGTGAATTATTTATGTAGCATGTGTGAGATTTCATAACACTTTGAAGCAACTTTTGTTAAAGTTAAACTTATCATTCTATCAATGTGCAGAAGCCAGTACTTTTCCCTTGTTTTGTCTATCTGAAGGCCAAGCTACATGGCACCGTGGCAGCTGCTGATTGGAGGTCTCCATGCCTCCGCTTCGTGCTGTCTCTACCATCGACAATAAAACATGTCTTCTGTCTGAATTAAAGACGCGATCCCAGACTATGTCATCTTCTTCAGGTGGTGGAAGGATGCGGGCCTTGTCTGTAACATCTACAGAACAGAAGACTTTTTTTTTTTTTTTTACACAAACATTTGTTTTTTTTTTAAGCCAAAACTGAGAAACCTCAAGAGAAACCATGCATCTGGATCAGCACATGGACTATCTGCACAGTCCCTGATTCCAGTCAGGCTGTGAGCTGCTGAGACATGGACAACACCATCGTCCTCTTTTGCATGGACATAATTTGGAACAATTGGATTTCTGAATTTGGACATAATTTGGACTGAATTGGATAGCTGAATCTGGACACTGAAGCTGAAACGTGTGATTGAAACACACGTCACAGAAGAATCATGGCTCGACACAAATGCAGCCTGAAGAAATCAACAGAGAAGTGGGAGAGACTGTTTTCAAAGCAATATCTGGAACCACCATCGACTGATGAAGTTTGGTATTTTACTGAAGATTGTTGACAAGTTTTATGAAAGATCTGAAAATGTTTTATGAGTTTTTTGAAGTACCGAGTGAAGTACCGAGTTTATGAGTTTTTGAAGTATTGAGTTATGATGTTATGTTGTTGTTTATCAATCCTGATGGTCACACGTGAATGTATGACCAGAGGGGGGAATGTGAGATTTCATAACACTTTGAAGCAACTTTTGTTAAAGTTAAACTCATCATTCTATCAATGTGCAGAAGCCAGTACTTTTCCCTTGTTTTGTCTATCTGAAGGCCAAGCTACATGGCACCGTGGCAGCTGCTGATTGGAGGTCTCCATGCCTCCGCTCTGTATATTACACTTGCATTCTATTGTATCTGTGTTCGTGTTCGTGCTGTCTCTACCATCGACAATAAAACATGTCTTCTGTCTGAATTAAAGACGCGATCCCAGACTATGTCATCTTCTTCACATGCTTGCTGCATTGTATGTATAAAAAGTTACAGTACCATTTCTAAGACCAATCTATTGGAGAATGAACCGAAGACTGAGACTGCAACTGTGGGGATTTGTAGATGGGGTGGGGTGTTTGGAAGTGGGTTTGGGATTGTATAGTGGGATGGATTGTTACTTTTGTTTTGCATGTGTTGTTTTTGGGGCCCCGTCTATAAGCTAATGCAGCTTCCTGGGAGTTCCCTTTTTACAAAACACCAACCACCTCTCATTGTAAAAGTGTATAACCTGTATGGCTACAAGTTTTGTAAATAAAAGAATTGAATTGAATTGAATTGGCCCAAGTCTTCAAGCGTGCCTGAGCGCGGTTGAGGCTATCGTGCCCAAGCCCACTTGCCGCGGTCACATAGCACCTAAAGCCCGGATCTAATCGCGAAGTGGGCCCTGACCCACTTAAACCGGGCTTTAGGCTGTGCATGGGACCGCAGCCTAAACAAGGACACTTAACACCTATAGTAATTAAAAGCACAAGTAAAGAAAGAAGCTGATCCATTCTTACAAAAACACAGACCCTGTACCTGCCAAACTGGTTCCTAACTGAACAAAGGAAAGCTTGCCAAGTTGCAAATGTCAAATGTGGGTTAGCCTGCAGCTGACAGACAAAAGCAGGAGATAGCAGTAATTATCCTGTTCCCACCTTCCACTGGTGTCTCCAGCAGCAGAGAAGCCCAGAGCTAAGCCTGTGATCACAGCCTGCTGCTATGAAAGTGACATCAATCATGTGCCAGGGTTCCGCTGGGAGTACGAACAGGGCAACTGTGTGCAGTGCCAAAAATTAAGTGAAAATGTACGAATGTTAGCTGTCTCATAGTATTTTGTCATGACTAAAGTTAAGATTATGTGGCAAAGAAGAAGCCAGTATGGCATTTTGATGTAATTCATGTTGTTTCTGATATAAAAATAAAATTCCAGTTCTTATTAAGACCTGAATTAGATCTGGTGTCATACTTTTATGATAATATAAAAGCAATCTTAAAAATAGTCTTAATTTATACTATGATTTTATGATAGATCATAAACTTCCTCTTGTAGTGGTTATAAAACTCTGTTCCTGCGCTATGCTTTCATACACACCTTGTAAAGAACGACCTGTCCATCTTGAGGGTTCCCAGCAGTGAGAAAAGTCTCTTGTTTCTCTTCATAAATCTCATCATTACCTGGAGCCAGGTCTGTAAGGAGATAAAAGATAATGAATTTGTTTTACTGTTGAAGCTGACTCATTGTGACTCATGTTTTATCAGGCAAACGTCACAGCTATGAATACTTTTTAAACCAAAAGGCTCATGTTTCATACCTAGAATCCCCATGTCGTACTTCCCCTCCTTCTTGTCTTTCTCAATTAAGTAGTCAAAGTTGTCAGTGAAGTATTGGAAGAGATAGTTCTGTTTGTGGACCTCCAAGCCAAGAATGCGGTTGAGGAATTTGGTTATGGAGCAATCTGTAATGGAGGAATTAAATGAAGAAACAGCCTTATACGCACAATCGGACATTATACGAAATCATTGTACCTTTTTCAGTGTTGATCCCGAAGCGAGGTTCTCTGCAGAAGATTCCCACATCCATAAGTCCAAGTTTCATGTCTGAAATAAATATGAAAGGGTTATTCTGAAGTGCTTTGGTGGTGAAAGGTTAAATGAAAAAGTTTAACTTGCCTCTGAAGAACAAAGGGTCGCCCCCAGGGTAGTCTTTGGGAGGGGGCACTTTGTTCTCTATGTAGCCAAGTATTGCTTTGGTGATTTTGTCCAGGGCCTTGGTACCGTACTGCAATAAGAGCAAGTTGAGTAGATGTTAATATTATAATGGCTAAAACAGAAATGTCTTAACTCTAATGCAACTAATGCAATATATTTGTACCTTGTTCTCAAAGTTGTATTTGCTCAAATCCCTAGTTTCAGTGGCTCTTCGGTCTCCATGAGTTAAAGCACCCTGGAAGAAAGATAAAAAATACATACTGAGAACAGAGATGAAACAAATGATTTATCCCAATAATTTCGCATTTAATGTTTCAAATTGGTGATGTTATACCAATCACAATAAAAAGACAATCATCCACTCCCCTCCGTAAATCCTTTCCATGAAATAACTTCCATGAACCAGTGCAGACTGCAGACTTTTTTCCAACATTTGTCAACAGCATCATTATCAATTTAGCAATTTTGAACACATTACAGAGTTAGATCTCTGCATTCAATATGAACAAAGATGATAAGAGTGTGTCTGTGTGCACATGTTTGGATTAGGACTACGAAGGACACCAGGTTAACTATAAAAGCACTTGTAGAGAGCAGACCTCCAAGAGGCACAGTTCCATTTATATAGGAGAAGAATAGTCTAGCCCTTATAAATTATTGTTTATTTGCTTCACTTCATGCTTGTGTCCACTTTGAAAGGGAATTTCAGCAGTGAGACGGTGAAAATGGTGCCGTGTCTTTTGCACAGGGATAAACTCCTGTCTCCTGTCTGTACTCAGCACTGGCTAAAGTCTGATCAACACATGCGCATGTGGCCACCTACTTTTCTCACTCTTACTATTTATTCAATAAGCCCATAGTCACTGTCAGCGGTTTTGCAAAATTAACGTTCCTTCAAACGTTAAAAAAATCTGTTGATGAACACGTCTGACTTGCTCTTCATAAGCCCAAGGGTACAGGGTTGTGCCGTTTGTGTCAGAGCGAGATAGAACGAAAGAGCAGCAAATTCCTCAATAAACTCCTGCATCCAGACCGCTGAGGCAGATCACCTCCATAATCTAATCACTTGTTCCTCGTCAAATTTCGGCAGTTCCCAAAATGAAGGTTCTCTGACGAAGATTGTATAAATCCACAAATTACTTTTCCAGTTATGACAGGAACTAACAATGGCTGATAATGTAAATTAGAACATATAAAAGATACAAATAAATAATAGGATACTTACCAAGCTCTCTAATCTTTTGGCAACAATGGAGGCAAAGCGTCTCTCTCCAGCCAACTCCGAGATGAGAAAGATGTACTCAGGAGCCGTTACCTGGTTGGACCGATGTGTGCGACCTGAATACAAAAATAAAGAGTTTGCAATGCAAATGATCAAGTTCTATTCTAACCAAGTATTGAAATTATAAGGCATTGGAGCAAAGTCAAAATAAGAAATAGGACAAAATTCCATCATCAAAGCTCAAGGTGTGGCTTAAAACAAACCAAAAATGTTCCCATCTCTAAATCTGTAAATATTGTATTTTGTGTGTGTGTGTGTGTGTGTGTGTGTGTGGTGTGTGTGTTTGTGACTGTGAATGTGTGCTGTCTGTGTATCTTTACATTGGTGGGAATGTGTGTGTGTGTGTGTATCTTTACATTGGTGGGAATGTGTGTGTGTGTGTGTGTGTATCTTTACATTGGTGGGAATGTGTGTGTGTGTGTGTGTGTGTGTATCTTTACATTGGTGGGAATGTGTGTTTTAGGGCTGTCAATAGTATTTCTTCTGTAAAATGTGTTGCACTGTAGGGAAACGCTCAACCACAAACAGGAGTTGAAAAATAGCATTAGCTACACACTGTGTTGCATCAGTTGCATCTTTCATGCTGTATGACTACATATAAATATTTAGTCATACAGCAATAATAAATAAATAAAAGAAAACGGAAGATTAGTAGATATTGTACAGATTGTAAAAATAATGATGGATCCCAGAATAATCAAAATTTCTGTTTGCAGCGTTTACTTCGAGCTGGTATCTGTTGCCGATATGATATGTACCTAGATACAAGGCACTTTCAATAAAGACATTTGGCGCCTAACCTAATGCTCAGTGCTATTTTACCCCAAATCCTCTTTCATATTGAAGATTGATTGTTGAATTATCCTCTCAGACTAAAGCTTCTGTTTGCAAGGTGTCCCAAACAATTACAAAATATCAACATATACATAAATATCACATCTATATTAAAAAAAAATCAATACATATTCAAAAAGATGTTTTTACACCCTCCTAGTGTTTAGTGACAGGAAGTAAACAGCTGATCAACCTGCAGCATTAGCAGGATTATGCAATAGTGTTAATGTTCAGAGTGTAGTGGATCCCAGGTGCTTATTAGGGTCCATAGTAAGAAACACAATCCTCTTTTATTTGACGCACCAAATTGCTGAATGGCTCTGTCAGCACTCCACGGCAGCTCCAGCGTCATGTGCACTCGTCTCCGCTGGTTTTTCACTCGCTTATCAGCTTGGAGGGATATCCCAGAGCTGGCAGCCTCCGATATAATAGCCACCGCCTAAAGAAGACATTAGAATTACAGACCTGGACTGCAGACCATCACTGTATTATAAATGTGACATGTAGTCACACTATATCATAAACGGTTCTTAAATGTTGATGTAACCCAGGTGTAAAACTAAGGTTAAAACAACATTCATAATTTCCTTGTAAACCACAAAGTAATGGCTTACATAGAAGAGTGCCAAAATGAAAATGTGTACTTTGTTTACTTTTATTAATTTATTTGTATGTGTGCCATCAAAATGTATTGTAATGCAGCCTAAAAGTCACGTAAGCAACAGCCAAAACGTTACGTTCATTTAACTGCCCCATGGTGTGTCTCGCAGTCAAGACGCAGCGAGACGCACACAAAGCCAATATTTTAACAATTCAGAGACAATCAAAAGCGCAAATCAGAAGAAAATCTACATCAATCCAAGCCAAAAGAGGAGTCCTGTTGCTGGCCTGGAGTTAAAGTTGACAGCTGATCGGTAAGAGTTACATTGTAGTAACCACTGCAACTTAACGTCTGCAAATGACCAACGGCCGCTACACTAACGGACTTACACAAAGTTTCAGAGCAGAGAAAACCAGTAAGAGAAAGAGTCAAGCTGAACGCAGATTCTGACACCGTTCCGCAAAGGAACGAAAGAGAATTGGTGAGGAATAGCTTGATTGCTGATGTGTTGGCTGTTTATTACAACAACAAGCTCCTAACCGCTCCATATCAGTGACACAGGCATGTTTTAATGGGATGAAATAATCCTACAGAATATTTATGTAAATGAATAACTAGAAAGTTTTGCATACAGAAATTATCTTTTTGTTTTGCTATGTACAGTATATGAGAAATATATTGTACCTATATTGGAAAAAGTTAAATAGATAAATTGTCATGACTTGAGCGTAAAATGATGAGCCTGTCTTTTAATAATATTTTGGAGAAGACCACTAGATGGCGAGGCACCCCAACTGGGCCAGAACTGGATGATCCCATCACAAACTGCATGGATTATCGGCTGCGGTAGGAACATCAGCCGACAACTTTGAACAAAACATCTAGATCTTGAGTGCACTCACCAGACTTTAAGGGTTTATTTTTTGGGTTATTTTAAAGGCTCCATTTAATTTTTGTATTTTATTTTATATTGCATTGTATTTGTGGTTATAATTCATGCCATCTTTAACTAAATCAATATACATTTTCTTAGCTATTGTCTGTCTTTCATTTTGGCTTCAGTTCCAACACTTAACATTTGAGCTCTTTATGAACCTAGTAATAATGTGAATTCCAAAGTGGGCTACATTTACACACCCAGTCATAGATTTCATTGGGTTAGACATAATTTGGAGATCATGAATGATATGCAACGGCTTTTCTCCTCACTTAGTGGCTGTGTGAAGCCATAAATTATCTACTGTCAAATTACAACATAATTGAGTTGATCTGTGGAGATCCTAGGAATTTATAGTAACTGGAGACTTTTTGCGAAGAGGAATGGGAGGTTTTACCATGAAGAAGCTCATACACAGCTACCACACGCTGACATAAAGGGGCAAAACACGCTATTGAGAACTGAGGCGTGTAAAGTTTAAACTTAAAATAATTTTGAGTAGGTATGTTGCCATCATGACGTGAAAATAGAAAACATGTAAATACACAACACATGGCTTCACACAACCACAAACCATGAATGAAAAGACAAGCTTTTGTGTTATCATTCATAATCGTTGAAATAGGGCCAAGAAAAAAATCAGCTTTACTAACTGTAAATTCTTTAAAGTGTTGGTAATAGATATTATATAACAGAACACTTGCCTTCTCTCCACACATGAAGCGATCTTTCTCTTTTAGGTTGATGTGGTCGATAGTCAAACCCTGCTCGGCCCGAGACTCATAGCGCACAGTGCCATCCACTCGTCGCACCACGCGGCCCTTTCGACCAGTCATCTACCAAAGAAAAACACCATGTAAATATTACTACGACTAAGTTCTATTGTACGAGACACGGCCGCTTCTTATTGTACCTCTGAGACTTTCTCTGGACCTCCAAACTTGTCGATAAGCTCGTCCAACGTGTTAAGAGGTAGTTCCTTTCCGAGCACAGCAATTTTGGTGAGAAGACCCTGTTTCATCTCTTCTATTCTCGCTAGAAAAACACAGAAACAAAACCTCATTAGACTACCACACAATTGCGGTAGGGAATGGCATTTTTCTTTGTATACCAAAATTTGAAAACAAAATTATAACAGTAATAGTACAGGTAGTAGTAATGGTAGAGGTAGTAGTCCAAGAGCATAACAAAACACAAAAGGATCAAGCCCCAGGTCTCCAAGATATCTGTCCACTCAAATCTGTGCTCATCGGCACAGGCTCGCACAATGGACATCCCAAACACTAGCCAAAGTGAGGCATTTTGCCCGCTCTGGTTCTCCTGGTTTTGCGCACTTTGTGTGCAGTGGTTCTACTTCCTCAAGACCAAGGAGCTGGAATTGGGACCCGCCATGCATATATATATATATATATATATATATATATATATATATATATATATATATATATATATGCATTTCTCAAACAGCTTTCAACAAGTCTCTTCCACTAAGCGCTATGCAAACAGTGAGAGAGACACTTCATCGAGGGGATAGTGTTACCTGTCTGGCAGCTGGTGTGGTTCACAAAGATGACGTCATCATTCTCCAGAGAGTCAGGGGACGAGTTGGAGTCTGTGTCCACATCAGAGTCACTGCTACTGTCGTCACTGATGTTGATCACGCCACCGGTGTCCACGTTCAGCTTCGCCACCTTTGTCTGCCGGCCCCGCGGCTTTCCTGCATGATGATGGGAATCATAATAGTTTCGAAAGCCTCACTGACACAGAAGTGAAATACAATATTAACACGATTGACTTACGTTTTCTCTTGTTTCCAGGTGGCTTCTCTCTTCTCTGCTTCTCTGATGGAAAATGTTTTGAGACAAGTGACTGGAACACACCCCTGCAAAAACAGTTTGAGTTATTAAAAATGTTAAAGATTTTAAGAAGTGTTTCTTTTATCTAAACTCACTCTGCAGCTGAAACAAATCTGTCGAGATGTCCATCGTTCTCATCCAGGACTTCTCTTGTGCGAGATTCTCCGGTCGACTGTAGACCTATAACGATGCACTGCACAGAACACAGAATATACGTTTATTTAATTGACTCAACATAGAGCAGTGTTTACAGTAGGTTACACAAACCTTCCCGGCCTGCAGCTCTTTCCGAGCCAGCTCCACTAGACAGCGAACCTTTGCAGCAATGCAGAGATATTTGAAAAAGCGCTGATGAGATGACCAGAACTGTCCCCACAGAGACTTCCTGCTGACGAGGCCCAGATCATCGGCTGCACGCATGAACATCTGAAGCGCCTCCGCCCACTGAACAATTTATTAATGAATTCAATGAGATTTAAATTTTCTAAGCAAAAGATGAATTTTGAGGAGAAACGCACCAGTTTGGCTGCTTTATTATAAACCACTTTAAAGTCGTCATCTAGGGCTATCTCTTCAATACGGAAAGAGACTCCAGCGAAGCTCAGCTGACGGGCAATGTACATCCCACTGACCTTCATGTCCATGGCAACAATCTCCATGGCACCAACGCCTCTGTTTACAGAAGACAGATAAATTATTGAATACATCTTCATCTTTAGCCTGGACTGAAGCTCACACACAGATAAATCCTACAATCAGACAAACCTCTTCTCAATGGCGTGCAGGAAGTCCTCAAACGTCCTGAACGGCGTTCCGTCTCCCCAGATTCCCAGGCGGCTCATGTAGATCATATTCTTTGGCTCGGAGGCACCTGGGTTACACACAGATATGAGACTGTATTCACGGGAGATAAATTGGCTCAGATTTACTTAATAAGGTTAGAGTTACATTGACACAGTACTTCTCAAAGGGGCGTTATCAAATAGTCCCAGTGTGATGTAAGACCTTATGGAGCACGGACATCGCACATTACACACAAGTCGGTGAGGCTTTTTTACTGAACTCGTTAGTGACTTAATATAAGGATTTCACCAGGCCTATGAATCAACGTGAAACTGTTCTGCTCTGTGCAGCTGAAGTAGTGGTTTTACTGATACTGCAGCAGTAAGTTATTTTACATACATTTTTAAATGTGTAGCAGTTCATGTGAATAGTTATTAATGATTAAAAACAAACAATATTCTATATTGTATAGGTGAGTCCACCTCCTGTGGACTCACCACCTGCAGAGGGTCAGTGAAGGGCTGGTGCTATGAGACTTGGGTGGCATCTCTGACTGCCACCCCCCTGACCCAGAAATGGATTAAAGGGTAGAAAATGGATGGATGGATGGATGGATGGATGAATATTCTATCTCTCAAACAAACTATTTTCGCAGATTGCTCAGGTTGAGGCTGTTTAATAGTTTTGTATCATTGAAAGCACATTTTCAGATATGTTAAATAACCGCTTTTAGCATATTGATTCTAATCCACAAATGTACCTGGATTATGTTTGCCCTGTCAAAGTGGGCACCTCACCTGTGGCACTGGCGTACACCACCCTGGCCCGGGGCAGCTTGTTCTGCAGGTCCAGCACCGCTTTGCCCATCTTTGTGGATGTGGCATTCTTGGCTTTGTGGCATTCATCAAAAATAATCTGCAAAGGGGAACAGTCAAGGAACAACACAACTCTGGGATCAGTGGTGAACAATAAGAAGTGCATGAGATGGGCTCAATAAATGAGAAGGATACAACTCCATCAAAGTCAGGCTTGCACCAGTCTAAAATCTGTTTGATTCTGGTCCGGTGCTGCCCTCCAGCCTGGCTTTCTCCTATCAGCGCAGAGTAGGTCGCAAACAGGACTCCTTCTGAGGTAGCTGTGTCTCCATACTTTATCTGTAAAAAGATATTATGCAAATACATGGAAATCAATATTGGCAAACAAAATGTTATTGTTACTTTGCAGAACTTTGAAAATCGTTTGTTTATAATATTCTATATACATATGATTGAATTGGATTTATATTATACATATATTGACAATCTTAAACTCACTTTGTTTAAGGCAAGCACAGGAATATATGGTGCGTCTATATCTTTGAGATCTCTCTCTGCATCAAATTTCAGGTCATTGGATATGCTGAACCTAAGGGGAGGAAGTTAACAATATTTACACAGTAGAAAACTGGAAGATGAAACAAATAGTAGAAAGAGTCTAGACTGATGCGTCTGGAGGGTGTTCTCACCACAGTGCTTTCTTGCGTCCCTTAAGGTAGTTTTCCAGGATGATCCCAGCCACAGTGCGTCCTTTCCCGACTCCTGCTCCATCACCAATAAGGAATCCTGCTCTCTGGTTGTTCTGAAGGATCACTTCATGTTGCTGGAACACGTTCATATTAATATCAATACATTTGTATACAACCAAAAATCTCAACAGCAGTTCACTCAAAGGACTAAGTCAAATGTTATTGAATTGAACGATGATCAGGTCATTCAATATTCCAAGGCTTAAGTGATGGTCCTTAGACCCCTTTTTCAAGCATAAAACACTCAAAAGTCCTTGTATAATAGAAGACATACTAGTGGACTACTGAGTAAGTGTTTGTGTACCTGGCAGGCGTAGATCACTGCCTCTAGCTGCAGTGCGGACAGAAGCCCACTGGTGACAGTTGATTCAGGGATGGAGAGGGTGTATGTGATGTCTGGGGGAGGGACACTGGACAATGTGTTTGTCTCCACTACAATGTCTGGGTGGGAAATTCCTATTGTGGCTGTAAAGAGAAGGCAAAACAGAGTTAGTTTATGAAATTTCAATATGTAGAAAACCATGAAACACTGATTTAAAATCATGCCATCAGTATTAACCTACATTTAGAGGGTTTGTACTCGGCATAGGTGTCCACATGTCCCAGTTCCTCTGCCTCCTCCTCCTCTGCATCTTCTTCTTCCTCTGCGGCTGTTTCAGTTTTCGGTGGCTGGAAAAATTACATTCATAAAAGGTGTTCAGTATTTATCAGAATCAGAATCAGAATCATTTGTATTGCCACGTAAGTAACAAGAGGTCACAGACTTGGAAATTGCTTTGGCTCAGTGCAACAGTCAAAAAGAGATAATAAAAATAAGAATAAAAAACACTTCTAAAGAATAAATTTAAATTTAAAATAGAGTTACAGTTACTATTACAATATAAAAGTGCACATGGTGCACACAATGTAAGGTGACAGCAGTACAGTGAAGTACTGCATCAAATAGTAAATGTATAAAAAACAAAATTTGAAAGGAGGAAATTATGAACCAAATGTTTTGGTCTAGTCTTTGGTATGTGCAAAATTAAACTAAAATTAACATATAACGATGGCATAGACAATCATGTTTTTCAGAGGGCCTACTTAATGCAACATGCAGCAATGTTTTCATCATCTAACATAATACCACTTTGTTTAAGTCGGTCAAAGTATTTCAACATTGAATACCGCTTTTGATGTCAAGTTCTTGAATTCTTGAGCGCCTTTAGCCAATTTTTCATTTTGTTCTGCTATTTTTTATTTTTTTTTTCAAACAAGGCTAATTTAAGCCAGTGTATTGTCAACACAGGGGTCACATTGCTTGTGAAAACAATTCAGAGAGCTTAGCACTGTTTGGCATTTTTGCTTTCAATGTCTTTCAATGCTACCTGAAATCCTGTCAAAGGTGGGGTGCTGATAATAGCGGTTATATCATCCAAACTGGACAAGCCATGAAACTTGCTGCTCCCCTTCAGCTGCCATGGGAAAATAAAGACTTAAATGAAAACAAAGCAACAACAGAACAACAAACAACATGTAAAATGATTTGTTCTAAAAATAGTATCATTATGAACATAATGCAGCACATGATGCAGCACTTCTGGAGGAGAAGCACTCTGTGAAATGTGAATTGTCATGTAGTGATGAAAAACCAACAACAAAAGCAGATCTGTGTGTGTCTGGGAGACTAAATGAAGACAATGAAGCCAGAATGAAAAGGAAAATAAAGTTTTAAAAACCAAGACACAGATGTGCATCTCGTTCAGGGAGGATTCCACAGCACTAAGTGGAAGTCTGTATTTAGATCATTTAAAATAGACACGACATCATTCTCTTTTGTTGTTTAGGCAGTGTAAAAAAAGAGAGCAGTTACATAATGCATGTGGACTGACCTCCGGCTGGCTCTGTGCTGGTGTGTTTATGGTAGTGGTGTTGCTAGTGTTGACGTCCCATAAAGTGGGCACTGTGTCCAGGTTGTCTGTGCTGATGAAAGGCTGGGCATCAGCATACTCGGACAGCGAATCGGCCGGAGACGAGAACAGGGAGTTTGTGGAGAGGTCATCAATGCACGACAGGTCCTAAGCAGAGAGAGAAACAGAAGTTATGTTAATGAACAACAGAAAAGCATTGATCAGACGTTATTTTAACAGAAAGCACTGAACAAATTGACGCAGCAATTTTGAAAGTTTGTCTTAGTTTGTCCACATGTCCCAGTTCCTCTGCCTCCTCCTGAAACATAGTTTCAGAATTGCTGGTCAAAAGTATTATAGCACAGTTAGTTTAATTAGGCACACAGGCCTGGTACTGACAAAAAATAGTGATCCCAATTTGAAAATGAAACATCCTGTCAATAACATACACCCATCAATAACATCACTAAGCTTATTGAAGCTATTCAAGCTTCTCAAACATAGTTCAGCGCTGCACTTTTTGAGAGAAACCAGTAAGAGTGGACAAGCTACAGCACAGACTGCTGGTGTCTTTATCCAGTTTTGTATGTTTCTTTGCGCAGCCTTTGGCAGATCTGAATACAGAAGGTTAATAGCACTTGCTATTGCGGTCATAACTGCCTTCTAGGCCCCTTTATACATGTTTTCTTGTTATGATCATGTGCTGTTCTTTAACAAGCCTTCCCCCAGAGACAGAAACAAATTATGGGGGAGGCCAATAAATCCAGAAGGGACCAAATCAGTCATCTACAGATTGAGGTAGAACAACAACAAACTATATTTATTCTGTTTGACACATGGTCCCACATCAGCCCACTACAGAGGAACACTTTGGAGAAACCTTCAAATAATAACCAGGTATATTAAGTGTTATTTCTCCGCATCAAATGTTTTCTAAGAGCCTAATGTTTTTTCCACCCATATCTATAACGCTGCATTCAGTAATCGGGAATGATTGAACGTTTTGTTCTTGTATTTCCCCAAAAGCCATCGTTCGCCCAGTGAGGTTTGAGCTGGACTGTGACTCCATCATGTGGGAATGAGGCCAGCAAAGGGACAGGAGGATGTTTGTGTATAAGAAAGAGGGCTCTTTCAAGGCTACAGCTTATCAGTGCTATTATTACGTCTCTGCTAAACGTGCTCACACTACCTTCCCCAGTGTGTGTATGTTTGAGTGTGTGTGTGTGTAAATGTGTATGTGGGTGTTATAGAGACACAGCACATCCTGAGGGCAAGAGCAGACATGAGTTCAGAAAGAGTATGAAGCCCACAAGACAGACTGCCAGTGCATTGTTGGTCGTTTTCAAATGCAGAAAGAATGATTGTGACCTAAATACCACACTTGGTACATTCCCTGGATTATGTTTCATACAGTTGTTTCACCAGTTAACATCAGAAAGATCCATCACAAACAATCTTGATGTCACGGGCAGGTAAATGAAAAAGGCACCCAAAATGCAGGACTGAAAATGAAGTGTAGTTTAATAAGATAAATCCCAAGGTAACGACAAAACACAAACATCCAGAACTGAAAAGAAGCCAGTTACAAACATGGTATAGACGATGGACGGTGACGAAAAGGGAATAAATACCTAGAGGGAGACACACATTAGGGCGGGGCCATATATCAACAGGGCAGACAGGAAGCAAACTAAAACTACAAGAGAACAAATATATAACAAAATAAAACCATGTAAAAATAATCAAAAAGTCCACATCATGACACTTGATCAATGAGACCATAGAGATATATGATGCTGGGTGCAATATTTTCACTGCTGTTAACTTTGTTCTCAAATATATTGTACACAGTTGTGCTTGAAAGTTTACATGTGGATTTTTTGGCCCATAGTTTGGTGATTATAATGAAAACAGTAACACAACAGAAACTAGCCTGATTAGAAGTTGTCATTCCCCAGTTATATCTTCCGCCAGATCTATGACAGCGTTCTGTCTTTTGTGAATTTAAGTGCTAATAACCAAAAATTAAAGTCACACAATTGACAAGTTTTTGTTATTGTAATTGCGGCAGAAACATTGCTCTACAAATATGGAAACAGTTTTTTAGCAAACATGTTTCTTTTGTTTAAAAAAAAAAAAGGTATTGGTCCATAGGGAGTTGACCAATGTCCATGAATGTTGATAAATGCCCATACATGTTGTAGAATGTGTCCTAGATCATCACCACAGTCCTTCCTGTTACACCACTAACATTCTCCTGCATCGGCAAGGAAAAACTCGGCTATAGATCCAGAACCAAAGCTACAGAACGAGGACCAAGGCCACGCAGCGGTTATAGAAGATTCTATCTAGCCTCTTCCTTGAACAGTCCCTTTTATAGACATAATATTTTTGAATACAGAAGTTGTAGATTATACTAGAACACACTACTCTTGTTCAGCTATTTGATTGGCAACTGTATCCTCAAACCGAAATCAAAAACATAAGATTTTGATTACATTGTTATGTGAACTGTGTTGCGTCAGTGTGCGGTGATTCTATGTTCTAAAACTTAAACGTAGCATGACGGAGCGGGCTGCCACGTCACACAAAGGCAGCAAAATCACACCGCACAATAATCGAGTTCTGAAGTCGAGCAGAGCAGAGAGAGCAGCATGGCCACCAGCGGCATATAACAAAAACTGTTCCTCAGACCAGTCTCTGTCGACGTGAGATAAGGCATTGGTATGATGACAATCTCCCACAGCCTTCACGGTCACAGGGAGAAGCACAATTATAAATGCTGCCAGGCTGAACTGTTCCGAACCATCTAGTTCTAGTTCTTAACTTTCTATCTTAAAGACTATTCATCTTTCCATTATTAATTGCGTAAAGACTAAAATAATAGATATCAAATACAAACATAAACAAATATACACTGTGACTCACTTTTAGATTTTTTAAATCAAGATGTTTACCCAATATCCGGCCAAGTAAAGTTGAATTACGGATTGTAAAATGACTTTTAAAAGTTCATATTTGTTGCAAAATGTAATTGCAAAGAAACCACAGATACAGAAAATATTGGACCACAAAGTATATGGTATCATCCATAAATGATTTAAGTCTGAGCTGATGATGATAAGTATCATGCCGGACAGGCCCTATTTGTATGCTGTTACATCAGCATTTCATTTTTCATTTCATTTATTTATTTGAGCAGTTAACCTGCTCAAAGGGAGTGGGCTGAAGCCAAAGGCTTATAGACGCCCACCCCAAAATAAAAATAATAACATTACATTTAATATTTACAAGGTAGCAAATCATAAACAAAGGAACATAGGGCAAAGTAACAATAAATGATGAACCAGAATAGTATAGCATAGTATTTTATCTTGTTTTTCCGACTAAGAGAAGTGGGAAACCTCTGTTCCTGGTATCAAATGATGAAGTGTAAAGTTCATTGTGAAAAGTATAAAAGGAAATATTACTATACAAACTGTACATGTTATATTTTGTCAATATTACAAACATATTTCTACAGAAAGTAAAGTCAAGTCACTGGGTCTTTAATACTAATTCAAGTTGAAATAAACTAAAGCTACTAAACCAAGTTTGGACCATCACAGCAAACAAATTAAATCAAAAGATTATCTAAAAGAAAAAAATTGACTCTTTATACATTTCTTTCAAGAGTCTCAAGTGGCCTTGGATTCAATGATTGGTGACTGGAGGGCCCGGCATGTCCTCCTGTGTCGGACAACCCTACTTTCTGTTCCTGTGTGTGGGAGTGAAACTTTGTGACGCGCTAAATAGATAAAGAATACTCACTAGATTATCTAACTATTAATTAAAATTAGTAGTAGAATCAGTAGTTGACTGTCAAAAGCCTGATGAACATTTGTAAAGTGAAATAACTAACCCTCTGCAGCTCATCTAAATCTTGTGTTTCTCAATAGTCTTTTTCTTTTTTCATTTGATTCCTAACAAATCAAATAATATCAATATCATGTCCATTTTGTCACAATTAAAGAAATGCATCTATTTACAAGACAACTGTGTTACTGCATCCGGAGTGGTGACAATAATCTAACAACATGCTTCCAAATGGACTTATGATCGAAAGTCTGTTTTGTCCGCTTGGCATTAATGAACTTTTCTATTGTTCTATTTCCTGTAATAAATAGTTCAACAATGTTTGCTGCTTACTTTCCTTTCATCTTGGCTGATGATAATTGATCCAAATTTAGTTCATGTTTTGCTATTTTTATTATTGCTGAAGAAAAAAGTATTTGGGTAAAAAAAAATTGCTTGATTTTTTATAATTTTTGGCTCTGACTGGATCTGTATTTCACGCCCAGAAATTCTCACATACATTTTAATTTTACGTAATCAATTAAACACTAATTAATAATCTCATAAAGGAGCGAATAACTGGCCTGAATAATTCTCTGGCCAGTATACTCTGACTTGATCTGACTAAAGAGAACTTCCTGACCGGTGCACTGTAAAACATTATGTAAAATTAACCGAAACATATTGTTTTTGCAAGCGGCGTCTAATGGCCCTCCACGCAAAGGAGGTCTCGCTGACGCGCCATCCTCATACAGCCCTGATGGGAGAAACCCTGATAATGTATTATCCTATCATCAGTGTGTCTCTATTGAATAACATGGGAACCTTCATACGTCTCTACAGAAATAAGTAAATAGTATTGAAATATGTGCGTCTGCTTGTAGCTCAGTAAGTGGAACATTGGCCTTTAAGCCTGAAGGCTGAGGGTTTGACCCACTGATGTCTGCTACCGTTGTATCCTTGGGCAAGACAATAAACCCCACTCTGCCTGAAGCCCCTTCTGAAAGTGGGGTGTCCTGTGGACTCACCACCTGCAGGAGAATCATTGAGGTAACAAACGTCAGACATTTTTCATAAAGTCAATTGATTTTTTTTGTACAGTGTAGGATCGTTTTCAGTAACATTTTCTAATAGATATAAAACGTACTGAAAAAAAAAAACCCATTACGAGATGGTAGTGTTAAATTATCAATAAAGTCTTGTAGGCTTAACATATTTTTTATGTGATTTAGCAGTGAATACGTAAATTTATTTACGTATATTTTCCGTAACTTGCCTTACAGTGTAACTGTATTTTTTACTGAAATGTTCTGGTTCTGTCTATCACGGTGTGT